CTTTTACTTATGTAATATTTTTAATTTATACTTAGATTTTTTATGTAATTTATTTTTTTTATTTGCTATGACAGGTTGTCTCTGCCATAGTAGCAAGCTGAAAATAAGAACAAATAAAACAAGTTACATGTGAGAGATGAAAACCAGGAAGAAGCATGACAACAAAAGTAGCTATAGTGGCAAAATGAAACTGGTGACATGTATAGCTCAACACAGCCGAGAGGTTTCTCTTGGCTGTTGAGGTCTCGACGGCCAAGAAGTTTCCCTTGGCCATTGAGGTGTACACCCTTGAACTCCAAGAAAAACCCTCTTGGCTGTTGAGGGTTATACTCAACGGCCGAGAGGGTTTTCTCTTGGCTGTTGAGGTTGTAGACCCTTGAAGGCTGAGAGAAATTCTCTTGGCCATCAAGAGCACTCTCCGCAGCCGGGAGGAATCCTCCCAGCCGTCGGTTTTACTTTGTTTCTGGCATCAACACCCAAACCCCACCGGGGGTTTTCTTTTTTTTATTTAAATTTTTTTGGGGGCCGACTCCCAAACCCACTGATGAGTTTGGGGAATTTACTCCCAAATTTTGTGGAAACCCGGGTTTGGGAGTCAACTCTCTGATATTTGGGAGCTGGTTGATCAACTCCCTATCTTTATTGCTAGCCTTGTAACTTACTTATTCAACTTAAAAGACTAGTACAACCCTATTTCTCTTACCTCATTAAAAGCTACAGCACTGTGAAGCTCATTCCACAGTTGTCCCTTATTTTATAAGGAGCTAGCCCCTCCACTTTACAAGTGTTGAGGAAGGCTTATTTCTCAGGATGAAAGTGGGTTGGGTCAACCCGGTTACTACCTGTGACCCAGCTCTAAACAGGTCGGGTCCGGGCAGCATTTGAGCTTGGATCTGAGAGACATGACCCAACCCGCAGTTGACACGGTTGATTTTCAGGTCGGGTTTGGGAAGCCCAATTGGAATTTGGGTTGACCCAGTTGACCCGGCTCTAATGGCCCAGGAGCTGCCTTGCTTGTTCTATGCCGCCACGGGCAAACATCCCTTGAAGCCTAAAACACACAACTGATTAATACAAATCAATATACTCATATCCAGATATCAAACATACCACTTAGGATGAAGCTCCGAGCACAAAAGGCATCCAACCCAACCAAAAGCAACCAAAAAAAGAGGAAAAAGCTTGCCAAGGTCCACAATAACTCCAAAATTCAAAGCTCCGGAACGGACGAATCTCATCCTCCAAATTGGATTCATCAGACTCAGACACAAGTCAAGAGGATTTTGTTGAGATTAGTAAAGTCATTAAAACTCAGAACTGTCCAGATTCCAACAAGAACCAGTTGGCAACAAGTGCAACCAATTCGAAATTGACACAGCAACCACCACAACAAAACAAGGCTCCTCCAGCTGACAAGTTGCACACAAACACTTTGAATATCAGAAGTAAAGCAGATATACAGCTCAAGACCACGAGCAAAATCTGGGAGCATTATAAACCCGTTGGAAAAGGTATGAATCTTATTTTTAACCTCAGTTTGGAATTACTTGGCCCTTCAACTCGTATTCTTACTTATTTGTATCCTGGCATCTTGTTCTACAGCCTACAGGCAAAGAGAAGCGTGCAATGTTTAACTACTGCAGGGAAAACATGAGTGCAAAGTCCTCTTGTGGAACAACACCACTGTGGTGCCATCTTGACCGATGCAAGAATTTTTCAACACAAAGCAAGCAAACTCTGCTAAAGATGACATCGGGATCTGGTACCACCCCCTCCAACTGGACTTTCAACAAGGAGAAATTCCGAGAGGTCTTGACAAAGCTCATCATAGCCAACAAAAAGCCTTTTAAGTCGGTGGAGCATCCAATTTTCAAGGCTTTTGTTGCGGTGTTGCAACCAAGATTCAAACTCCATGGACGGATCACTGTGAAGAAGGACATCATCGAGATGTACAACTCAATGAAGGCCAAACTTTCTTGCAATATTTCCAAAGCTGATCAAGTCGCCTTGACAACTGAACTTTAGACTTCATCAAATCAGACCCCGTTCATGGTGGTATCTGCTCACCTCATATCCCCTGACTGGATACTCAAAAAGCAAGTTATTTCTTTCAAAGAACTCCCACTGCCACACAATGGAATAGCCATTGCGTACCGGCTTATTTGTACAATTATTGACTGGAAAATCCTTGACAAGGTCTCTTTTATCACAGCCGATAATGTGTCAGCCTTTGTTGGCCAACAACGTTGCTGTGGCTTGTGTTTCCACAATCCTGAAAGAGAAAAGCCAAAGGCCTCCCAATCAAAATGGCAAGTTTCTACATCTCAGACTCCGATGTGCTGCTCACGTTATTAATCTAGTTGTTAAGGACACATTTCAAATCATCTCCTCCGCTATTGCAAGGATTTGATCAAGTGTTCAATATGTCAAAAGCACCCCTAGCCACAAGCAAAAATTCCAAGAAGCAATTGCGATGGCCAGACTTCCTTCTCAGGCATTGCCTTCTACCAATGTTGCAACACGATGGAACTTGACTTACTTGATGCTGAAGTCTGCACTCCTGTACAGAGAGGCCTTCAGCTTTCTCTCAATACAAGATTTGGGTTACACCCATTGTCCTACAACAAAGGAGTGGGAAGAAATATCAGCAATGAAAGACTTCCTTTCAATTTTCAACACGGGTATGTCAAGTCTCACTTTGGATCTTCTTAATTTATTTCTACTCCATACTAATTATTGGTTCTCTTTTAAAGCAACATTAAACTTGGGAATGACACATCAACATACCGCGCACGTGCTGTACAAAAATATGGCCAAGATTGAGAATCATCTCAAACAAGCGGCCAATGGCGGACCCAATCACATTGCCAACCTCATTGATCCTATGGAACAAAAATTCAACAAATATTGAGAGGTAATGAAGGACTTTGCCGAGATTGCAGTTGTTTTTGATCCACGTTACAAGATTGATATCATCAAATTCAATCTATTGGTCAAACATAATTCTGATCAGGCCACTATTTCTTGTGAGATGGGAGAAATGAAAAAGAGAATCTACTTGTGGTACAATCAAATCTCCTCCCAAGCAAAGACCCAAAATTAATCAACCAAATCCATCAGCACACCCTCTCAGTCTCAACCTTCAGCTCAAGAAGAAGTCCCCAAAGATATTGATGAGGCCCACTTCAAGAAGTTCCTTGCCGGCAAGAAATCAAACATGGGCGTGGCAACTGCGGAATTGGACTTGTATCTGCAGGAAGCAACCCTTGATACAAACGGCAAACCATTTGATGTTCTCAAATGGTGGTCAATCAATTCCCTTTGATTCCCGGTTCTTTCTACTCTTGCCAGACAAATCTTGACTGCTCCAATGACTTTGATTGCATCCAAGTCAGCGTTTTTGACTGGGGGCAGGATTCTTAGCGACTACAGGACACACTTGAGCCCAGGTAGCTTAGAGGCTTTGGTTTTTGGAAAGGACTGGATTGACACTGACGGGGGGGATTTCTGGTGATGGAAATGGATTGTTAGATTTGTTGTTTGATACTTCGTTATGATTTTTTACTGGAGGACTTCCCGTCGCCTAAATTGCTTGATCTGGAAGGGGGTCCTAAACTCTATTGGCTGGTAAAAACTTGATCTTGATCAATTTTTGCCAGCAAATAACGTTTAGGATGTCCTTCTAAATTTACAGATTTGGACAATGGGAAGTCCTCCACTATCTTCTTCAAATAAATACTAAGTACATGCTCAATACACGCTAAACCCCAAATACATGCTACTGATATAGTCTGATAAGCTGCAATTATGGTATTCAAAGTTGAAATGCATGAAATCATAGAGTGCATAAATCATATAATCATAAAACATTTTGGCTGGGAAAGCCAAAGCTTACATAATCAGATTACCAAGATCCCCTAGCTTAGCACAATCCCCTCGTTCCAGAGGGACGGGGGGACCCCGGCGTGCCGGGGGCACCCCGCGAAGCAAGCCTCTGAAAGAGGGGCTTGCAACTGAAGTGGTTTTTTTTGCGCGAGGAATTCAAGATTTTACCCCATTTCTGTGGGATTTTCCACGAAATGTCTCATTGTTCGGTAGAGCTGGTCGCTACACATCCGGATATCCGCGCGGATGCGGATATCCGGCTGCTTTTTCAGGCCAAATGGCCATCCGCATCCGCATCCGCACCCGCTAGCGGGTATCCGTCGGCCGCAGCGGGTATCCGAGCGGGTATCCACGGATACCCGCCCTTTAAAGGGCCGGCGAGGCGGCTGGAAGGAAATCCTTCCAGCCGTTGAGGTACATGTACCTCGTCGGCTGGAAGGGTTTCCTTCCAGCTGGCGAGGTACATGCTCGACAGCTGGAAGGAATTCCTTCCAGCCGTTGAGGTACATGTACCTCGACAGCTGGAAGGAAATCCTTCCAGTCGGCCATCTGCCCTTCCGGCCTCGGGTATCCGTTGAGATACCCGGGTATCCGCTGGAAAATCAGCGGAAAGGGCACATCCGCACCCAAACCCGCATCCGCTGGCGGGTATCTGCTACAGCCGGCGGGTATCCGCCAGCGGATAACGGATATCCGCAACGGATATCCAGAGACCAGCTCTATTGTTCGGGCACCTGCAGTCTCCAGAATGTAAGACTAAGTTGCCCCATGAAGCAGGCATCTTGCCTTTTTCCTGCCTTTTTTTTACGCATCTACTGTGAGAACCCACCGCGTACCCCCACGTTTGAGAGTTGGCACTTGGTTTTGATCAAAGTGCTGCCTATCTTGATAATCATGCAACCTGAGCAGTATTATCGCTGTACAAGAGTAATTACAGGGTGATTGAACATCCAGTTCACTCGATACAGGAAGAGACATCAGATGCTATAACATGGGAGTTACACGCGTGATATGGATTATACGTGATGATAATTGTCCGTGAAGGTGAGGTTGTTGCATGAGACTCACTACGCTCTTGCCAACCCAAGCAACTTTAACACTTATTCACCATCAGGATGGCAGTCACCCCTCGACGATCGATCTCACTTCCAAAAAGAGCCTGGTCAGCCACCGGTGTCAACGTCTATAAGAATGTATCTAAGATGAATACAGAGAAACTCAGGGAGCACATCGCGAAAACTTCTGTCAACTTTTATGGCCAGTTTGCTAAACAGTTGCAAGTTGAAGCTGTCCTGAACCTGGTCGAAGGACGTAACACTTTTCTACTCGCTGGAACTGGCTACGGCAAGTCTCGGATACCCGAGCTATACTACAAAATGATCCCTGGGAAAACTCAGGCGGTCATCTTGGTCTTGAACCCTTTAGATTCCCTCGGCGACAATCAGGTTCTTGAGAAGCAGCAAGCAGGATTCTCGGCGATCAACTTGACGAAGCTGACTTTCAACCCTGAAACCGCGGCCGACATTCAGAAGGGTGTATACCAATTTGTATACTTGAGCCCTGAGATATTTCTGAACAGCAAGCTATTCGAATCAATTTACTTCAGTACGGAGTTCCAGAACCGCCTGGCCTTGGTAGTGGTTGACGAGGCTCATATGATTTACATATGGGGCCTTGTTGAGAGCTCAACCGCTAAGCATTTGACATCGGCCCACTTTCGACATGAAGACTACGGTATCTTCCGTCCATCTTACGGTAAACTTGGGGCGCAACTGCTTTTTTGAAACAACCAGCCGATCTTGTTACTTTCAGCAACGTGTCGACCTGTTGCTGTTGATGCTATCTTGAATAGTCTGAAACTTAACGACCAAAGTGTGGACATGCTACGCGGCGAGTTGACTCGGCCGGAGATTCGGATGGTCCGCGTGCCTATGGAGAACTCTCTAGCTTCGGGACTCGACATTATCAAATTGTTCCCTTCCGCCAACGATGTCTCTGATGCTGAGATGGTTCCATGTCTAGTCTATAGTGGATCCCGCAACCGAACCATGACTGTTTTGGATGTAATATCACGCGCGCGGGAAACTCCTGGAAGCACCATGGTGCCAAATAGCTCTTGTGCTAGGCGGTTCCACTCTTGTACTGGCGATGAGGATAAAATCACAACGGTCGATGATTTCGCCGAAGCGAAGTATCCGGTGATATCGTGTACCATGGCGCTGGGGCTGGGCCAGAACTGGAAACAAGTACGCATGGTGGCCCACATGGGCCGCGGGGATCCGGCTTCCATTTGTCAGATGATCGGTTGTTGTGGGCGTGATGGAAAGCCGGGGTTGGTGGTGATGTTTGTGGAGAAGAATCGGCGCGGCGGTAAAAATCGATTGGATCAATTCACCCGTGGGGCCGCTCAGAACGACCTGGATCGAATGGATGCGCTGGCTATCACACCAGTCTGCCTCCGGGTGGCATTTTCTTTGGATAACAAGTCAGTGTGATTCTTCAACTGAGTCTAGGAGGTATTAAGAGGTCATTTGCCGATATCTCACTGACATACCCGTCTGTCATTACCAGGCTTGGCTATGTCCCACTGTGGGCAGACGATCCTGAGTACCTCAAAGAGCTAGCGAGAGAAAAGCAGCTGGGGATTCCGGCTTGCCAATGTTCCAATTGTGCGCCGCTGGCGACTGTAGTGACTCAGAGGGGTGTAAGCGTATATATTACCGGTAGGTGTGGCCCGGAGGAGACGGGTGTAGTCTCCTCTGGCTGGCTGAGCCGCAGCCGAGTCGCACCATGTGACCTAGGTCACAACACCCACCCCCTCGGCAAGGCTCCAAGACACCTGCCGGGGAGGCCCTAACTACATACATCAAGCTGAGAGAAAAAAATAGAAAGAAAAAATAAAGAAAGGCAGAAGATATGAATAATCAAAATAAGATCAATCTTGAAAAAAAATGGTGTGGAAAGGTTGAGGAGGCTGATAGATAAAAAAATAATCAAAATAAAATAGAATAAAATGTAAGAAAAGATGAGTAGGTTGAAGATAAAAAGACCAGAGGTTGGGAAGTGGGGAAGAGGATTTTCATGTGCAACAGGCTATTAATAAGTGGAGCCATAGCCATCATCAAAATTACCATAGTCAAAACTGCCATCGTCAAAACCACCATCGTCAAAACCGCCATCGTCAAAGCCATCGTCAAAGCCGCCATCATCAAAACCATTGTCGTCAAAACCGCTGTCATCAAAGGCACCATTGTCAAATCCGCCGTCATCAAAGCCTCCATCGTCAAATCCGTCGTCAAAACCGCCATTGTAAAATCCACCATCATCAAATTCACCATTTTCAAATCCGCCATCGTCAAATCTGCCGTCAAAACCTGCTGTGTTATCTGGATTTTGATCAAGATTGGAGGTGCTGTAGTTGGAGTGTTCATAGTAACTAGAGCAGGTGTATTGGTTGGGTTGGTGATTGACATGATGTGAATGAACGCAAGGGTTGTTGGCATCTTGATCGTGGTTGTCAGCCACTTCACCTGGGATGTGATCAAGCGGTTCTTGATTTAACTGAGGAGTTAGGGTCTGAGTTGGTTGATCAAGGTTGGTGATAGCATATTGCCGGAAAGACTCAGTTCTAGCGTCGGTTCCCAAAACACGAAGGTGCTTGAATTCTTCTGCTGACAAGGTACTGGCCCAGCGGTCTACATCGTCAGCGCTGTAGCTTTTTAAGTCAAAAGCTGGCTCGGGTTGTTGTTCTAAGTGATCTGGATCCGCATTGATGTCTAGAACAGACCGGTCATACCATTCAACCTCATCTAGATCAACTGATTCACCTCGCGACTTGACTGAAACAGAGTCGAGATCCTCATCTTGTGCCTGATCTAAGCAGTTTTCAAAATCGTTGATAGGTGGCTCCAAAGACGAGTTTCCACAGGCATGGTATTCCTCAGTCGATTGAGGCTCTCGATTGTAAGAATATTGGAAATCAAAATGTTGATCGTTTGATTGTATATGACTGAGGACCGGGGAGCTCTTTTGGGGCCTGGAACGCTTGTGATGGTTGTGGATGTGGGCTAGTTGTTGGTGTTGGGGAAACCGGATCTCGTATTCTTTCGGAGTGTTGCCAGTGTTTTGCTTGACTGGCGGGATGGGTAGAGGATGATGAACTTGCGGCGATCGTTGGCAATCGGTTCCTGTGCGATTCTTCCTCCAACTTCTTGAGCGATGGGTCGGGCGCTTCCAAGAGATCCGTTGATTGGAAACATTCAGCCGATTGAGATTATGCTGAGAACCAATTGAGTTGAAAATCGCTTGCATGGGTCCATGGGCAGTCGGAGGCGGTAGACTCCCCAAAACACAGTGTAAATCCGCTAGAAAAAGTTGAATCCGACTGTGAGCGCCATACAAAGAGTGGTCCATCACAATCGAGTAGCTAGTTGAGAAAAATATCTTGGATAACCTAGTTTTAGCCGAAGGGTTAGAAAAAAAAATCCTGAGTCGGTAAATTTAAGGAAGAGGGTCCGGAATGATTTGTCGGCGAGATAAAAGATAGGTCCGGTATGTTCCGTCGGCGATATTCAAAAAAAATAATCCGGTATGGTTCGTCGGTGAGATTCAAAAGATTAGTCCGGTAGGGTTCTTCGGTTCGAGATTCTTCAGCGTAGCTGGTATCGCAGGCTCATAACCTGTAGTGACTCAGAGGGGTGTAAGCGTATATATTACCGGTAGGTGTGGCCCGGAGGAGACGGGTGTAGTCTCCTCTGGCTGGCTGAGCCGCAGCCGAGTCGCACCATGTGACCTAGGTCACAACAGCGACCATGAAGCTTATGGAGGACTTGGTTTTTGCGAACGAGTCAAACTTTGATCAGATTTTGAATGGCCACTTCGCTCATCCTCATCCCTACAACATCAAGATGAAATATCCTCAAAAGGCGGTCCCCATGAAGAAGAGGAAGTTTACTGAGGAAGATGCGTTGGAGATCTCGGGGTTCTCTGCCCATCTCCTGACTGATCTACAACATCATTACATCTCGGAGGTCTCCGCTGACGGGACTTTATTGTCAGAAGATCTATTTCTGGCAGACGACTGTGTTGCCATTCTGGCATCCTTGGATCACATTACAAATGTCAAGGACCTTCGGACGGTGATAGGTGGCGACTGCTTTGAGGGCCAATCAGAATGGCTTTTTCAATGGCTTATGAATTACAAATCCTCGGGTTCTTTTCATAACAATACAATGCCTGCGGCTTGCCCTCAGAAGAAGCGTAAGAGTGCGCAAGCCGTGACCAAATCAATCAGTCAGATAGCGCTGGGAGTTGGGCTGCCTCCAAGGCCACCAACAAAGAAGGCGCTTGCGGCCGAGGATTCTCGCATACGATCTCTTGAGCGGAAGGAAGCAAAGGAAAAGAAGGCAGCAGATCTTATTCGCAGGCGACAACAAATATCTCGGATAATCTTAGATACAAAAGCTAGTCATGGGATATGAACTGGTATGTAACAATGAATAAGACCCGATTTAATGTGAACTATTTACCGACAAGACATGACTCATGCATCTTCTACATGTCTTCAGATTGGGAATCGCCTGCGTCGGACGCATCCGGAAGCTCTCCGATGGTGACGTTTTTGGATTTGGAGTTGGCCCGCGGTTTGAGTTGATAGTATATATGCTTCTTGAATCGTTTGAGATCCTTATCAGTACATATCATCTTTTTGAGCTTTTGAATTCCAGACTTATAAGTATCATCTACTTTATCGACTTCTCCGATCTTGTTGGCTGAGTATATTGTCAAGATGTCCCGGTTGTTCCCAAGCATGGTGAACATTTCAAGGGATCGAGTAGGTAATGAGTTCTTGTGAGACTGGTGTATGACTTTTGCACCACAGTCGTTCTTGAGGGATTGGAACATACTCTGAAACTATGGATCACATTATATCAGCCTCCTGCGCCGTTCTATGGTGATCAGGCCTGATGAACTTACCAGGAAGATGTTAAGCAAGAAGACATTGCGGAGCCGATCTAGCTGGGTTCCAGTGCCATTGTTGTTGTAGAGGAACTTGATCCAATAATTCTGGATCTCAAGCCAGTAATCCTTGGCAACAAAGTGCCCGGGCCGGCCGCTTGGGGATATGAGCAGGTTGTGCTTCAGGTACTTACTCAAACCTGGAGGCAGGACAAAAGTTAATAGTAATACCATCCTGGGAAGATATGATGAATAATTTGTTAGCCCCTTGAGCGCCTGAGACATAAGAGACCATTTCTTCCAAACAAGCAGCAAACGGCCTATGTCTCTGGCCTTCATAGCCCGTTTCGCTTCAACTACGGTTGAGAAATCGTGTAGTTGAACTAAAGTGTTGCTCAATTTGTGATGCGATGGGCCTTTGGCAGCGGCTGCCGAGCGGGCTTGGGGTGACAAAAACCGATCATAACACTCATTCACTATTCCCTCCCATTGACCTGTGGGTATTCGCAGTTTATCAGAGGTAAGATTGTGATTATTGTTCTTCATGACAACTCTACAAAGATGTGATATGGTGTCACGTCAGCCAGCTGGAATTGAGTATAATGAAGAGCGCATAGAGTCTACTTACCGTAAGCAGTAATAAACTATCGCCTCATACACTCGTTCCATCTGATTGATCATTAAAGAGAAATCCTTTTTTTGGATAGCCTTCTCCGAAGGGAATCCCAAAGCCTCCAAGTGTTGCCAGGCACCACAATTATCAGTGTCCTTGGGGTTCCCAAAGTGATGAGTGAATATGTTGGAACCTATATTCCACAACGTGTGTGACGCTCCAAGCTGGAAAAAAATGTTGTCTAGGCGGTTTTGAGGCACGGCACTGGGGAACCGTTGAGCTCTTAAGCAGTTGAAATTTTGAACGGTCCCCAAGTCCCCATCCATGGGCTGGAGCCGCGCAAAGAAGTCCTTTGAAGACATGCCCGTTTGGCCTATGATCGACTCGAATACCTGCCCGATGCCCTCAGCCGAGTTATCTGATGCATCCATCAGCTTCAGCATCAGAAGATCGGGCTTCTCTGGGCTGATGGGATCCAAAGGAGGAGGGTCGGTTGAGATGGAAGTCGATTTACCATTGGGAACAGCAAGGTAATCATAGAGGACCTTTGCGATCTGACTCTTGATGACATTTTTCTCATGTAGTTGCTCGGATGGTGAGGGAAGGAACATATGAGGTTGGATTTCTAAGCGTTCCACCGTGTGCATGGCTTTGAGGAACGTTTCTAGACTCAGCTCCGAAGGGTCCAGATTAGCAACGAGTTGCTTATTAGGTAGATGGATGTAACCCCAGGTCCCTCGGAACATGTGGGATCGGTTACCCACTGTGAGCTGGTGGACGTGTTGCTCGATATCAATGTTATCGATGCAAATTGTTGGGCTGATAGGCATCCCACCAGCAATTCGCATAGCCTTCCTTATTTCCTTCTCTCCCTCTTGAGATAATGTCTTCAGGGCTGACAATGCGGTGGACCTCAATGAAGCAAGTCCTATATAATTCAAGTATTCATGCACTCGGTCGGAGACTCCACAGGCATAGAACCTGACCGAGTTGTGCAGCTGGAAGGCATTATTGCGCCTGTTCTGGGAATATGCCATCATCGCGCAGATGGTGGTGGCCAACTGATAAGGAGACCCGAAGAATCAGCCCAATGATTGCCATGAGCATTGATTAGGAAGTCAAAACAAAAGACTCACCCGGCGGCCTCGACGTTGCGCCCTCTTAATCCCATCTGACTCCTGGGCATAAGATATCCCATCAAGTCCTTCAGGTGTAAGGTTATCCACCACCCCAGCAGGCCCCGGGGTAGTGACCTCTTCCAGGTGAACCGGATCGTCCACCCCAGCCCGATTCAAGGTTGCTAGTAAGAGATTATAGATGAAGGGCATGTTGTGTTCGGTGAGGTTCTTATCATGCACCTCCATCTCATGGGGGGTGAAGAAGGACTTCGTGACGGTTGCAGAGCTATGAAATCGACCATCTGGGTAGTTACCCCTTGGCGGTACCTGGGTAGAGGCAATGAGGATGGCCTGTCGAATAAAATAGCAAATCAATGAGCCACCAGAATCCTATTCCACTCCAGCTAGAACACACACCTCGTGCAGTATAAATTGAGACCAGGCCTTGCGCCCAACATTGGTCCGGTTGACCTCATTGCGCAAAGCAACAACGAGGTCCATGGTTGATTCAACCCCCGTTGCCCGAGACCAGAAGCGCCGCAAGTATGCTATGTCAGAGTTGTCCGATTCTATGTAGCGGACCATGAACTGCTTCGGTGTCATCACATGGGGGGGGGCTCGCAATTGTTGACATATAGCCAAGATCTTTTGGTCACTTGTGGGGTTCATTATAGAGCACTTGATAAAGTCTACGATATAGGATACGGAAGGTCTGATAAGTGAGGTAAGACTCTGAGGAGACAGCTGTGAGGTCATCATCACATCCCTTTATATAACCGAGGGGCGCCATTCTGCCTAGAGTGCATCCAAACGGGGATGACTTACTCATATTCCCCAGTATTGCCAAACGCATTGGCATCCAGAGAAGCATCACCGCCCCATGATCATCAGGAACCGTAGAGGTTGGCCCGGCTGGCTAGACTCAAACATCCCTTCAGCCGGAACATCTTGCGTCCACCCCGCTAGCCTCAAACTGTGCCCCTGCCCCCCTTCCCTTATCATCCTCTGGTTATCCTACCCAACTGAGACCTATGCCCACCACGCATAGCAAACTGGAAGGTGGGGAATCAGGGGTTCTTGCAATCAGCATTAATCCAGAACCAAGCATAGGTGTGACGTGTTTGCTTTATTATCTATCCCGGCCAGAAAGTGGATGATTTAGCGTCAAACAATTACAATTCCTTATTATCTATCCCGGCCGGAAAGTGGGGGAATTAGCGTCAAACAATAAAAATTCCATATCATCTATCCTGGCCGGAAAGTCGGTGCTTCAGCGTCAAACAATACCTGCGACAAGGCCGATGAGGCATCATACGGTGTAAGGACAATAAGGCATCATATGCCGTAGTATGTGTTCCACTGAGCTGTAGTATGCGTGCAGCCACCTTATGCACTATGTGATCGTACAGAAAGAAATCAGACTGTATTTATGGGCTATGCTTTAATATAGGGTCATCGAGCAGCCCAACGTTCCCAAAATCCAAACTTCAACAGCCCAATGCATTGCGCCTGAGGACCACGGGCTGTTGGTTTTTGGATGTGTCAGAGGCTAGAAGTACGCGGTCAAAATGATCCAACAGGGGAACAATATTTTTCACAGGGAACCGGGGGGGTAATGAAGGCAATTATCTCCCACCAAAATCGTGTAAGCCCTCGGGCCGATGCATGGATTTTACTGGCAAGCCCCTCCTTCGGAGGCTCGCTTCGCGAGGGGCGCTTGCGCCCGCCACCTGGTGGCCCGACAAATTGAGGGGCTTTGGTTAAGCTAGCCTGCAAACAAGGTTTTAAGATCTTATGATTTATGCGGTGTGGTAAATAATACTGTGTTTCTACGCAGAAAATATAAAAATTTCTCATTATCTCTTTATTCATTCAAGATATGGTAAAAATAACATCAAAAATGGAATCCTCAGGTAAAATAACCCCTAGTCACCCACTACAACCATACCTTTATCTCTTATAGTTTAGAAGTTACACGTATTTCAACCTGTCACAGGATATTTCTTGGACTCTGCACTCTAGCCATAGTCATTATGAATACAGGATGCATATTGCATACTGAATTCCTTTGTATTAAATTGAATACCTTTACATTATTTTGAATCCCTTTGTATTAGTGATATTGCATGTATGCATCCCTTTGATCATACATATGCGTCCCTTTATTCATTCATATGCATCCCTTTGTAGTAGTATCTTTCAGCCTGTACCCTGGGGCCAAAATCCCTCACATTTGTCTATATAAGGAGGCCTCTGCCTGCCAGTTGTTCCCTCCATCATCCCACCAGTGGACCAGATCATCTCAACCACCCTTATAAATAAATCCACCTTATATATTATTTCATAACTACAACTCATAGCCACATTACAATTTCAGAATTATATACATTGAAATACAGATTTAACACTTTCATCATCATCATAAACCAAAAGTGCCCTGAACCATATTCATCAACAACAACTTCATCAATATAACCAACAGTCAACAACATCTTTATACCCTCACACATATCAATCAGCAGCTTCATCTCGAACTTATCCCTATCACTATATATAAAATTGCCAAGCTAAGCTTGGTGGTCTTGTTATTCTGATAGTATAGAAGGGCAGAGCTTGCAACTCCAACATACCCTTCTCCATTCAGCAAAAGGGTTTCACAACCACTTTTGAGTCTTACAGCGGTTATGATTTCATGCATTTCAACTTTGAATACCATAAATGAATAGTTCTGATGTCACATATGAGCACCTTTGCATAATTCTACTCGGGTTGACCCGCAATAGACCCAACCCGACCCGCCTTATAAAGCGGGTCGGATTTGGACATCATTTGCCACATCTCTGCCCGACCCGACCCAACCCTTCCTAAAAAGCGGGTCAGGTTTGGACTGCATTTTTTGACCCGAACCCGACCTTGTTTCATCCTGACTTATTTCCACTGGCCACTCCTTTGGCTATAGTGTGACCTTATAACCCATCAACTCTTGGTCACATAATTAGAGACCAGAGCTGACAGTATGAGTACATATTTTTTACTTTCATACCTAAGTATGAGTACATATGTTTTACTTGTTGGGATTTCTCCAAATTCACGAGAGCCTTTATTATTTTGGCATCCAGATTTGTGGAAGTCTAATGAGTTATCCAGGGAGATAACAATTTAAGGAGGACTCCTTGGTCTTGCATGTTCCCGAGTTCTGATGATGGGAAAAGACTCAGCCGCTGGACAAGGATCTCGCGAATGGCCATTTGCAGAACCGACAACTGCTTTGGGGGCTTGCCGGTGCCAGAAATGTAGCAGAGCGCCTGGCCATATTCTGAAATCGAGTTCGGGAGAATGTCGTTGTTCCTACTGATCTTGACCGGATCGATGCTGATCAGCTCTCCTAGAACCTGGCCGATTTTCCTGCTCAGCTCAGCGTCCGGCTGGTCCGTGCTTGGATGGGCGTCGAAGAGCCCAACAAGCTCTTGGAGCGACTTGGTATTGTACTTCCATGCCGTCGTCGGAGGTGCCAGCTTGTTTGGCAACACTGTTGCCAAGCAAGGAGACACCCAATCAGTCTCCGCATCCACCCGAACACTCATCAGCGCACAGAAATTGCTTGGCCTGACCTTGAGCATTCGATTTCTCATCTTTTCAAGCATTAGTTCACAGTTGGTTTGTTTCCATACAGACAAAAAATCGAGCGATGCAGCCGTTTATGAAAGGTTCAGCCACAGTGAGACATTCTGTGAAATGAGGCCAAAAACTAAGGGAGTCAAACTTACAAATCCTGTTGACTCGGAACTTTATTTCTGCAAGACCCATGACAGAGGTCCAATCACAACCCGGAGCACACCCATACTTACTTGATTATATTCAAAGACTCGTATCCAACTTACTGTTAGTGCTCTTCGCCCATAGTCCGCCAGAACTCGAGCCAAAACCGGACCTGGATGATGATTTGAATTCTTCAAATATACATCGAAAGATCCATGTCGGATGGAAGGGTGGATCACTCAATCAATCAGTTTGAAAGATTGGATTGAATTGCGAAGTGTGCAGAAGAAGGAGAGTGCCAGTTGGATGCAAATCGAGGGGAAATTTAATCCGACTCAAAGGGAGGAGAAAGGCGGACAAACGCACTCTGTTTTAAGCTCAACAACCCCTCATTCATCGGCCAAGGCTCATCCACCGGTCGAGTGATTTTGGCTTCAAAGACTTTGAAGTAAAGGAGGGCCAGCAGCCCCGCCAAAAAGGAAGCCCGGTTCATGTTGGTAGGTGTGTATCTAAATCCATCAGAAATCAAAAATAAAGAAAGAATCCAGTGGTTTATTGTGCGTGTTGGATACTCTGATTCGGATGTGATACAAAATTCGCACCTTCGAATCTGGTGGGGACTTGCAGGCAAAACTGGGGACTTGGATTGACACATGAGTCTTGCCTCTTTATGAGATCCAATCGGAGTCGTGATGCTGACTGCATCTCTATTCAAACATAGATAAATAAAAGCAAGATTAAGAAAGGAATCGTCTCAGATCTAGTGGAGCCGATTAAATCAGTGTTTCAACCTGGGGGTCGCAGACATCACGAACCTTGGCCAGATCGGCCATTCCAATGAACTTCAAAGTGTATACAAAAACGCGGATCCGAGGACAGAGAGCCTATGTGGGGCTTCCCTCCGGACTCTCACTTTTTTAGAGGCTTGTGTTTAGGCTCGGACCTGAGGGCCGGACTGCTTACTGTACGGCTGCCAAAAGAACTGTCGGACCGACGGTACAAATTTATGAGACGGAGATACATACACCAGAATCACACTGAAGATTGGGACAAGCCTTTGGTTTCTGTTTTTTCCCCTGGTAAATCAGACAAAGGCTCTGTCAACTCATTGTGATTCCAACAATGCTGCAACGCTTTCCAAACTGGCTTCGAGGCAGGTCTCAGCTGCGCTAAGATCCTCTTCATAAACAGCACTATCTTACATTCTGGCAACAATAATTGTCATCAGGTGATCACTTATCATTGGTCGGTCTCCATCGCTGGATATTCCAAGACCGCACTGCAATCGGTATCAATCAATGGCTAGATCGTATATCGATCTTCTTCCAGTAGATCTTGTACAAACCTCCGACGTGTCATGGGGTGATTAAGCTGCTCGCCGAGTCTCATAAAGTTTCTTCCCGGCCTCATTTTACCCGGAGCTGCACGATCGGGATCCTAATACGAGTGAAGTCCGATTGAATCGAAGAAGGGCTTTCTTCTATTCGATCGAGTTTAACTTAACTTGCTCTTGTGGAAGATGATGCTGGATGTTTTGAATGAGCATTGGAAGAAAGATGATTCTTCCTGTTGATGATAAGCATGCTAATACAGTTGCGTACGGCATAGACCGACCATGCCCCGCCCGCAAAATCCAAATTGGACACGCGGGGCCTATGCCCCGGGGGGCATGTGCCCTGATACTTAATTTTATTACAATTTTGAACTTCTACAGATGTGTAGAGTTCAAAATTGTAATCACTAAGGTTTTGAGTGAGTGGTTCATTTTTTTTTTCATTTCCACATACATATAATCGGACATGCACAGATTAAGCCATACTTAAACCCATAGTTATGGCTTTAAGTGATACATAAACATGGTTTTATACTACTTGTACACCCTCACCATCTACTTTCACCGTTAATCTACTATTCTAGTATATTTTTTCTACACTCTGGAGGCTACAAACAGCTCAAAAGGCTGAAAATTTCAAAAAAAAACTGAAATTTTTGGCCCAACTATTCGGACATCCTGAAAATCCAGCGTCGGTTTTTGCCGTCCGCAACTGTAGCAAGAAAGAAGCCTCGAAATTCGAGGCTTCTTTCTTAATAGTAGACTCTGCTTGAGAGGTCAAAAAAATTCTTTGACTAGCTGAGCCTGTACCGCATCTTGCAAGTCCACTTGGTGTACATAATCAAAGGCGCATGAAGAGAGGTGCTATACACACGCAAGGGGTCGGGTGTGCTGCACATCAGTGCACATCACAATGCAATTTAGCGTAAAATGATAAGATTGTATAAATAAAGAACATCATCTAATTTTCTCCTACTTCGGGCTGTGAATGATGAGGTGTGTCTTGATTTGACAGACTATTTTTACTAGTTCTTACAAAAGGTGCTTGTATGCACAATCCCAAACGAGTAGAATCGCCAACTTGAGTTGAGTTCAAGGTGCGATGAGCATACTCATGAGCGCGGAAGATGATCAAACAAATCGTATCTGGTGTGAAAGTGATAGCATCTTGGAAGTCAGCAAAAATGAATTGTCCGTAGTCGACTCGATGACCTTCGGATTCAAGCGCGATCTTGCCGGTGGATTTGAAGGTAGGAATCATGATTGCAAAGGACAACGGCGGCTCGGAATCTTGACCCTCTCTTTCGAGCTGATGATCATCGTGGTAGAAGCTGTTGGAAGGGAAGGCTAGACTGGACCCTCCTAGTCCGTCGGACGCAAGCTTCTTCACCTCGGCCCGGGTTTTCTCGGCCGCTACATTGCCCAGTCTGGAGAAGAGCTCCCAGAGAATCCCTCCCGCCCTTTCAGATCCTTCCATCAGTTTGGAGTAAGCTTCTTGATTCGTTTGCATAGATTCTTCATTCTCCGACGTTCAGCAAGAATTTCGAGCCGAGTCGTGTCCTTGGACCAACCGATTGCTGATGTGATATTTTCGCAGGCAAGTCCGTCCGATGGAGTAACTGGCGAGACCAACTGTTTGCAATCGTGGATGAAAGCGCAGAGAAAGTCGAGTTCTTCTCTCTTTGATTGTTCCAAAGTCGGGATTTTCTGGAATTCAGTCCCACAGATTATCTGTCCATTTTTACTATTGTAAATCTTGGAGTAATCTCGATAGATGGAGTAGAATCGTTCTTGGACGAGTTTCAAAGCTTTCTCATTTTCTTCTTCGGTTGGAGCTCGAGGAGTGATTACAGCTTTCGATCGTTCTTCTTCAAACTGATCGTCAGCTTCCCGTTCTTGAACCAACTTCTTCTCCTTTTCGATCGCAAGTTCCTTCGAGATTTCAGGGAACAAATCGGCTTTGATTACACGCTCTTCGCGAATCAGGAATCCGCCAGAAATACTCGCAGTCGAGATCACTCTTTGGAATTCATTGTCACGCCCCGTCCTCCTTCTTTTCGCTTTATTTTCGATTTTCTTCGATAATCGATGACATCTACAGATTTCAGATTATCATCGCACAACGACCCATTGATGGTGTTCCGAGTCAGATTGAAATAACGCACATGTTGTTCAATAACCGATAAATTTCAAATCACTTACTCGTTGAAGTGACGTTTCCGTTTCCGCTTGGTTTTTGGTTTGTCGATTGTCTCAATGGAAACATTCACTTCTTCTTCGTCTGTCGCGACGGAAGTCTCTGTTTCCGGTTGATGGTGTATCACAGGCAAAGGCTTTGCTTCTGGGACATTGCTCTCGGTTGATTCTGGTTGGTTTGTGCCTGCGGGAAGGTTCGCTTGTGGTTGATCAGACAGGGGGGATGTCATTGCTTCCAGATCTTTGGTGCCGGTGGACTGGACGATGATGAAGTGGAAAGTAGGAGGTGATGATGAAGGATGAAGCCGAAGTTGAACGTTGAACGGTCAATCTGTCTTCCGGCCGGCGCGCCTCGGCTTCAATCAGCCCCACCAGTCAACTTCAACCAATCAAATATGTACCTTGTCTTGTCTCTCATTGACTCCTTCACAGACTCAAATCCTATGTAGCCTCAGGAAAGCTTCGGCGCCTCAAGTAGCCTCTGAGGAAGGTCGCAACACATAATCGTCAAGCGCACTATCAGCACTGAAAATAACATAATGCGAATCAAGATCTCTCTTTTTTCTTCTTTTGTATATGCACAAGACATATAAAAGAAACAGAAAAGAAATAAAGCTGATTGGATTGTGTTTTTATTATCATCATTATGATTGATTTATTGTGTTTCTAGTCTTTGCAGGTCTTGGGAACAACACTCTAACAGCTCATCGAAGTGAAGATGTGACCAATGTACCAATAGCTTTTCCACTGATGACAGGACGCGCCATGCCAGAAATGCTGAGAGGGGAATATGTAATCAACTGGGAATGTCTTTTCCAGCTCTTCATAGTTGATGAGCCTAGTTGTCGGTGGCGCTGGGGAGGCCTATGTCTCACGGCTCTTGGCCTGGTCTGGGATGTGTTCTACTTCTGTGGCTCGACCTGATTCCGACTGCGTGCCCAGGAGGCCAGTAATCAAAGAAAAACTCTCCAGAGAAAACATGTTGAGATTGTGTCTTGAAGTTACCTAGTTATATGCACAAAGACCTCAAAAATCTTTCGATTTCGGGCTTTCATGTCAAACACATGGCTATGACTCGGACGGGCGCACGCTTCAGAAGTAATAGATTTTAAATGTAATATTCTACAAGCATGATTCCGACAATAAAGGCAAACCGAAAACTTTACAAGATATGGGAGAAGGAAAAAGGGGCATACAATTCCAAGAACGGGGTGTGATTTAGGAAAGTTTCTGCTGAATGCAAGAATGTCAAGGAAGAGGACATCATGAGGCAAAGAATATGATCTGATTAGCCATCGCTGATCACCGTAGAAGTTGAAGGAAAAGAGACTTACAATATCGTTTGACCAAGAGAGCTTAATGAGAGCCCATCGTTACGACAAAACTTGTGTTGTGAACCCGGGCGGTTATAGGAGAAGAGACGGATTTCTGAGAGGCGTGAATGTAGAATGAGGATAAGGTGAGGCAGTTAATACGTATCATAGAGAGAAGGATAAGACCGTGAATACGTGGAAAGCTTATAATATTATAGAGAGGTTTACTTACCCATGGCATGATCAAAAGAATAGAGATGAAGAAAGATACAACAGAAAGGAAATCGGGAGTGGAGAGTTCTGTTGAAACGGAGCAAAGCGATCGAGGGTAGAAGAAACTCAGACCCGGACTAGAATGTTAATTTGTAGAGAGAGAGAGAGAGATGGCTTACAAGCATTCACTTGCTGCGCTTCTGTGGTGGTCCCTGGTCATCATCAACTGCCCGGCGGCGCTTGAGAGAGGCAGCCACTGAGGCGACATCGGGTGCAGCTCGATGGTGGATTGCCATCCTGACAGCCCGGTGGTGAGTGTCAAGAGGAGGGGTTTGTGAGTCCTTCAGGAATGCAAGTCCCGTGAGAGTGAGTCGGTAAGAGTGGGTTGCAGTCGCAGTGAGTTTGGGGGAGTTAACCGCGTCAAGGAGGAAGGATTTTGGCTTGGATTTAGGTGCTGCCAACATAGAGCGTCGGGTGCGCTTGCGGGCGGCGGTGAGGATGGCAAGAGGGGATGAGACTCGTGGACTATGCTTATGAGTGGGGCGTCCTGAAGCCATGGTTAGCGGCTATGATAGGATGTGCGAAGGGATAGATAGGAAGTGTGGATGAGGGGGGGTGAAGGGAAGGGAAGCGATCTGAATCTGGATGGTGTTGTGGGAGGAAAGATTGAGACGCTGGCAGCAAGGTGGACGAGTTTTTATATCTTGGCCAACTGCTGAGCCCTGAAACTGGCAGCAGCAACTCGACTCCGCTGGACAAAGGCATCCATGGAAATCTGAGAAGAAGGGGACAGTTGTGCTACAAGATCCAAACAAAAGTTTAAACTTGTATAAATCCCTCAACAATCGCTTGTTCATTATACTGAGTAATGTGCAAATTGTGGTGATTTCATCAGTGGGATTTTCATCATTCAACGATTCCCTCTGGTCCTTTGTCTGATCAATTCATTAGACACACTTGTGATCACTCTATTACCGCACAAGGCGGGGGAGAGTTGTGACCTCTGAATTGTATATGTAGAGGCTCATTTGATCCAGTAGCCGCTACTCGTCATCATTAAAGCTGAGGATGAGTATCAAAACAACTGAATCAAACAAACAACCCAACCGCTTCCTCGTTGAATACCCATCCCAATAGATTGCTTGGCTCACTGAGCAGACCGTTTGGAGTTCTTTCAAAGGGGAAGCTCAACCAAGCCCAGCGTGCTTTTTTTTTGCGGTAGGTCTGATGCGTAATTGATTGCCTTTGTGTTCTCTGATTGAAAGTAGGACGCCGTACAGCTGTTCTGTACCAAGAATTAACTTCCAAAAGCTTATTCTACAGAGTGATCCATACGGATTCCCTATGAAAAACCGGCCGCGTATCAGGACAACTGAATGCATGTTATTTTCGTGAATTCCATGCGATCAACCCTTTTCTTTGATGTGGTGAAAACGAATTTGAGAAGAAACCAATAATTTCAAGTGCGCGAAGCTCAACAAGGCACTGGAAACTTTCCCATTGAAGGTCTGATGTGTAGTGAACCAGTCTCTAATTTTTATTTTTGCTTCAACTGAGTTATTTGTCACCTCAAAGGACACCTTTGCTTGTGACTCATCTTGAGTTGTTGATTCATCTTCGGTTGACTGAGTATCGGGAATCCTGTCGGTGATACTTGCTTATCTATGATGTAAGTGCTATTCAAGGAAGGCGTCACCGCCAACTCCAATGAATGGCCAAGATTTCAGAAGAACAAGTGCAGCACTCGTAGTTCTTCGTCTCAGACGTCTACTTGGTTACTGTTCCTCACCGAAGCCGGGGGGGCATGTGGTAACTCACAAGCAAAAGGCGACACTTACGATCCACTTATTGAAACAATCTAGTGATGTGCGAGCTGAGTGTTCTCGTATTTTCAAAACATATTTTGAAATATGCATCAGACATTCAATCGATGATCTTACCGTTCGTTTGTGTCGGCTTGGTGCGGGTTAATCATTGCAGCCAGTGTCAAAACTTGAGAGCGGATCAGGAATAGATAGGCAATCATCTCCTTCGCATTGCATTGGGACTCCCGGTTTTAGTCAAAAGATTATACGGATTGGCGCCCAGGACTTGAGTGTCCAATCTATGGAGGCCATCCCACATGAAAGCATATATGTAGTCAGGCCTCCTTGTACAAGTCTTCATCTGCTTGATTGTCTGATGTTGATAGCTTTGGAACGCAATTGTCTAGTTATCGCGAATGTTTTCTAGGTCCCGAGCACGGTTGAAGATGTCGATCAATGAACTCAGGGATACAAGCCCCAACAACACATCATCATACTACCCAGCAAGTAGGAGGGAGTTTGAGTCGCTCACAGCTTGTAAGCGATATCTTGATAGACCAAGATGTTCCATGCATCTGCTGGCATGCCGAAAGAGGTTGGTAGGGATGATGTTTGGGTGAAGGACACATGGATGTTTTTCCTGAGTTTTTGTGGCGCACAAAAGCTCACAAAGCCCCTGCCGAATACAGGCCCCGCAGCCCGCACCCAAGACTCTATGCTACTATTAAGGGCATCAAATTATGGGCAAACTTCAGCAAAACTTAAACCCCACTGCATATAGTCCTCAAGCCAACATATCATGTCTCTAACAAAGAAATTGTGCTCCATCATACAAAGAACACCACACAACCTGACTGTTTGAGGAAATCTCTCAAGGGAGAAAGTGGGCTGCCTCTTGCCAAATTTCCACACAACATAAGTACTTAGACCATGTTGTCACCTTTCTTGCTTGAATCTCCAATCTCAAGTTGATCATTGGCCAGTCACTGCACATACATTGGCAGGACTGACTCATGAAGAGATCAAGGTCACACGCTCAACTTCCTGTAAACATGGATATTGAATGTGAGCTGCAGACAGTCATCACCTCCTTACATATGAACATACACACATCTTATGTGAGTAGTTAGTTGATTGCATATGTGATGTCATCTTGATAAAATTAGTCAAAAAAAAACCAAGGCCAAGTGAGTTGAAAGAATAAAGAAGGAAAAAAAAATAAACAGCTTCATCATCATATTCATACCAGAAAAAGAGCAACAAACATGAAGTTGAATGTCTCAAAAAATGCAGGAAGAAGAGAGAGTAGATCAGACACTAGATCAAGAGAGAAAAGGGAGCCAAAAGGAATATGTAGAAGGGGAAGGAAGAATTGCACATGCATCCAACCCATGCATTATGTATATGTGTATGTGTGTGCATATGTGCATATGTATATCATTATGTATGTATGTATATATGTATATGGGTTTACCTGTTGTATGTATGTATATATCAAGAGGAGGTGGAAACAAGTCAAACAAACTCAGACACAAAAAAGAACAACTAAATCCAACCAAAAAAAGAAACTCCTCTTTCATTCTTTCATTCTTTTCTCTTGAGTTTTCTTTTCTGAAAATAATAATAATGTAAAATAAAAAACATACAAGTATATATATATATATATATATAGTAAGAAAAAATAGGGGAAAAAAAGAAAGAGAAGGAAAGAGAGGAGAAGTTTAAATAGGTTTGATCCTAGCCAACAAAGATTTAGAACCAGAATGATGAATGTGATGATTACGATTATGAGAATGATTCAAATGAGAAGAATGAAGCGGTTTGCCGAACGCCGAGTTCCGAGGGGCCGAAAACAAGGACTGGGCTGGATGGTGACGATTGGAAGAAGAAGAGAGGAGAGGTTGAGAAGTAGGACGAGCGAGTGGCTGGACCCGATTCATGAGCAGATTATTAGGCTTGATGGACTGTGCTGGTTTGGGATGTTCCAGTTGGTAGATCGCCGGGGGTCGGGGCTCTACTTGAATTGACGCTCGAGGATCACATTGGGCAACCGCTTCAGACCTTAAACAACTAGAAAATAGAAACATCATTCAATATATAATAACAAATAAACTGTCAATCGACAGAAAACAGGTGATTCTTACCCTGTAGGAACTATCCCCGTGTCTCCATCTTCCATCGCCACATCATGGTTCTCTTCAGCTTTCTTTGCCGCGTCTGCTGCCGATTTGAGTGTTTTGAAGTCCACTGGAGAAGAGGGCGTCATGAAGTCAGCTCGTTCGGGTTTCTTGGTAGGTCGGCCGACGATCTTGACGGCCAATGTTAAACCATCCGCTAATGCACCACTGGAAAAAAAAAGACATACAATTGAGTTTTCGTTTTTTCCCCATTACACTTGCGATTAGAATGGATTGGGAAAAAGAAAGAATTTGTGGACTGACTTTAATGCTTCGACTGCTTTTTCGGCTTCAGCTTTGTGAGTGAAAATCATCCGAGCTTTGAGTGTCGGTTGATTAGCTTGTCGAAGGCCTTCCTCAGTAGAACATTCTTGAATCTCTCCGAAGTCGGCAAAAGCCGTCTAAACTCATTGAAAGGGAGGGAGAGAAAATTTTCGAGTCAATTTTTTCAGTTGATCTGCTTCTCAATTCCAGTTTGCTTTATAAGAAAAAAAAATCAACCTTGACGTCTTCTGCGCTAGTCCCATCAGCTAGATTAGCTACCTCTAAGATCACAGGCCCGTTAAGATATTTAGCCATAGCCTCGTCGAAAGCTTGATGATTTTTAGCGGCCTGACTCTGTTGAATTCTGATTTCTTGAGGAGGAGGATGGCTATGATGAATGGATGGATCAGGACGATTGATCAGGGTGGGATCGGACAACTTCCAAAAGTTTGGAGGAGTGTTGATGGTCGAGTTGTTCGAGGGACGTAGGAGAATGGCGGATGATGATGGGTCGTTACTCAAGAGAGGTTTATGAGTGTCACTAGATTGGATTCGACTCAAGAGTGAGATGCCCGAGTTAGATCTGATCGGAGCTGGCTGAGGCTTCTTGATAGACGTCGGTAGATGTTGCGAGACTATGGGTTGAATGGGAAGCGGAGCTGGAGTGGAACTGATGGGCTTGGCCAATGATGAGACGGGCAAGCTGGCTGGAGTCGGTACTGAGTTGCCAAAAGGTCTTAAGGAGGGCGAAGGTCGAGGAGCTTCACCAAAGCTTATCTGATCCGGCCCTTTCATCTGGTATCTCACTTTGGGACCGTAGAGATTGGAATCATCTTCAAATAGATCGTGGCTCCATCTACTGTCTGGAGCAGTACGCATTGGTGCCGTTAAAGGCTGTTTGCAAAAAAAAGAAGAAGATTGGTGATTAGGGTTGGTTTAAGTTTCTTGAATCAAACTAGTTTGTATTGCTCTCGCTCTCGGTTTTTTTTTCCTGTGTGGAGATGGTTTCCAGTTGACGAGTGCTTTGAGATTGAAGACAGACCTTATCATAAGGCTTCGATCGCAACGAAGGATTTGAACCGAATCGAGGGTGATGATCGGCGGGTGCGAGTCTTCCATGCAAGGATCGACTGGGGAAGAGTGATTGTCTTGGACGATCTGGAAGTAGTGACATGATTGAAGGATATACAATGTTTGTTTGCTTCTTGCTCTCAACTGGGAGGGATTGATGAGAAGGGAAGGAAGGAAGGGAAGGGTGGATGGATGGAAGGGATTGAGCTTGGGATGACGGAATGGTCAACAGGAGAAAAGGACCCACTCAATCCCCCCCGGGGGGGTCAGAGCATCCCGCAGTCGGGGGATATGTAGATCCCTGAAACGCGTTGGGTGTGAAGCTCGCCACCCCTTGCAGGTGGGCTGTATTTATGTATGATCCAGACTTGCAAACTCAAAATTCAAAATACACAACATAAAACTTGCAACACATCTTTTGATTCTTCAAACACAATTCTATGAGGGAAAAAAAGCATAAATACAATACATCCCCCATCACCTGCTAAGATAGTCTTGAGCTTGAACACTGTCAGTTGGACATAGAAACTGGAATATGATAGTGTTGTATAATTATTATCTATTGAAGAAGTCTGACAGCAGAGGATATCTGCAGAGGTTTTGAGAGTATCATTCACTAAATAGCATCTCTCCTAAATCAGCTACTCTCCAAAGATAAGGAATCAAATGGTGGCCCAGCTGAATTGAATATTTGACTGCTAGCCCAAACAATTGACTTTAGTTTGCCATAAGTTCATCTGTATTGACAAGCAATTAAACAGCACAGAAAGAGGTCTCAAGACTCCCATCCTGGATTATTTTAGAGCCTAAAACATTCAATATATTCCAATCACAAGATAGAAAAAGAAGTATGTCCTTTTTGCACAGCAAGGAATATAAAATAAAATCCTCATTTTTTTGTGGAAGTAAAATTGGTACACTGTTGATGTGGAAAAGTATGTGTTATGATCTATTGGTCTGCTGGGGATTTTTCACCATTGAAACAAGTTTTATAAACTGGATGGCTGGCTGGACCAACTCCTGGAAAAGCATATTATACAGCCTTTCTCTCTCTGGTACAGACTTTTTTTCTCTCAAAGGCATGGATTCCTAAAAAAAAAAAAAGCAAGTGTATGTAAACCGTTTTCAGGGGAGGGATGCCTCCCAAACAGATGTTTTATAAAACCTGTCATCTGTTAAACTTTCCTATCAGGAGCTTGACAGTCTTTTTTGACTCATGAGAAGACCTCCTGACTGATGAAAATGCAGATAAGATCTCAAATTGTTGTGGTGGACATAGGTGATGGGACTGACACTTCAAAGACCTGGTGAAACTGGAGCAATCACTTAAGATGATGCTGGTCAGATCCATTGCAGGAAGGTAGATGAGAGATCAATTTGAGTGAAAACTAACCACAAGGATAGTTGATAAGCAGCTTCAACACAGATTGTAATTTATAAAATTTTGATCTGGGTGAAATTCCCGCATTTTCTGATGGAAAGATGGGTGTGCATAGATTTTTTTCATTGAGTCTGTCCTACTTCATAAACAGCTTGGATGTACCTTTTTTTGGATGAAGACAGCAAATCACCCCATACATTTTCCCCTTGGTGTGTGTCAAGCCCATCTGGGTGAACCCCAAAGTTGGGCTAAACAAAGACTGAGTGTCTGGACAGATCCCAAAGCCTGGATGGCCAATCTTGTGACACACAATATTTGAGTTAATGGGGGTTGGGACAAAGCCCTACTGTGGCAAAAACCCAAGCAAGTGTGCCACACCGACCCTAAATGGTGGCCTTCAAGAGCCAACTTCTTGCTGACTGGCCTACCATCTGGTAAAACTCTCTCATCAATTTCTGGTATGACATACTCACACATTTGTGAATGATCAAACTGAAGTTTTGAATTTCTCATGAGTTCACATGAATGAGAAAAACAATGAACAGGATAAAAGGTCTAACCTGAAGGCAAACAACTTGTCAGCCACGGAGTACATAAATGTCACAGTAACTTTTGGTAACTGCAACACCTGTACTTATTCACATAAGTACATATCCATAATGTTGTTTACCTTTACCTCTTGTTATCTTATCATCATTCTTATCTTATTATATTTTATCTTATTCATATTTATCTTATTCATCTTGATTACATATGAACTCAAAATATTATCTTATCTTTGAATTACTTATCAATTAAAGACATATCTGTTTTATACATAAATAATTATCACTTCCCTTTCACTCCTTTATCTGTGACATACCTGTACCACTAGCTGTCCTTGTTATACAGTACTTTAATGTTCAACTATCATCTACATATAACTAAAGGAATAGCCTCAGAGGACCAAACAAACCGTCAGGCTTCAATCAGTACATATTTCTATTGTTTCTCATGTGGCTTTTAACACTGGGGTCAATGTTGCACAATTCAATGTCATTCCCAACATTTGCTAGGACTTTACAATCATAGCAACCTTCAAAAGCAAAGGCTATTACACAATAGGACCTTCAAAAAAGTAAAACCCCCAACATCCGGGGCAAAAACAAGCAGCCTCCCCAAATTTGGGGGCATATACTAGTTAAAAATAAAGATGTACTAGTATTGAATATTATTTATTAAGTATTAATAGAATTAATACATTCGATACATGTAATGATCACAATTATGACTTCATCATTAGAGGATCTGTTAAAGTTCCCACATCAAGAGCAACTAGTGTATTGATCAACTAGTATACCATTATGATTTCACTTACTGATCATGACAAATAATGATCAGTCAATAAATGATTGGCCAAAGCTACCTTGATTATGAGTGCTCATTCTTTCCCTCCTTCAATTTTCTGGAACTTATAATCCGTGCCATTTTCACTGATTAATCCCCAGAATATTCAGACACCATTTAAACCAGTTAACATTTATATTGATACATCAAACACAACCAACATAAATCTAGACTATATTTATTGTTCTTAAGCTTCAGACTTAAACTCAACTTATCCACAGACTCACAGTATTCATAGCCTTGCTGAATATTCCTCCAAAAATACCTATTAATCTTCAACTAATTTTGTTAAAGCTCAATAAGTATTGCTAGCCCATTCCCTTTGGGGAATAACTAATCCTAGATGAGTATTAGTACCCTGGATGCCTATTAATATCAAGTTAGAGATGGCCTCAGGGTATCCGTTGCGGATACCCGCTTTCTGTTGCATACACCTGCTATCCGCTGGCGGATACCCGCCATGCCCACCAGATACCCTCCGAAGGATTTGGATTTGGGTTTGGATGCCCCATTCTCCTTGGAATCTTGGCGGGTATCTGGGTATCTCCAGGGATACCCGTCAGAGGGACCCTCTTGGCCTTAAGACCTTGTACAGTCTCAAGGGTGAGAGGGGTTCCTCTCAGCCTGAATACTGTACCATCTCCAGGCCGATGAGGCACAACTTTGTTGACTGGAAGGTCTTGTTGGAATTCTGTAGTTATGGTGTCCTTCCTTTCTCTCCCTTTCATGTCCTTCCTTTCTCTCCCTTTCACATCCTTGTCACTGCCTTCCTCATCTGTCACTCATTTCCTTCCTGCTTCAGATGAATATGCCTCTGTCACCGTCTGTCCCACATCTCAGCCCTCTTGTGCATGTAGATAAATAATCATGCTCCTGAGTTATAAATTGAAGGGCATCTGTTCTTCTGCGCACTGATCCCTGGGGTCTCTACAGGATACAACTCCTTGTAGCGTGTGAGCTTTTCCTCCATGCAAGCTAGCAAGCCTTTGGCCCCTTTTTGGTCTCATAGACCATTTTTGTTTTTTCCTCAGAGCTTTTTCCTCGAGGATTTATTTCCCCAGGTCTCTTCACCCCCTTAAGTCAAAAATCCTAGTTTCTTCAGGTCTTCCTTCTGGCCTACAAGGTACATGTGCCTGATTGACTGGAAGGGTTTCCTTCCAGTCAACAAGGTACATGTGCCTTGTTGACTGGGGGTTTGACTTCCAAACTTTGGGGATTCTGGGGCTTGGGAGTTGGCTCTACATTTTTTGGGAGTTGTTTAACCAAGCCCCCAGTCATATTATTTGACAGATTATCAGCCATGCTACAAAAAATCTTTTGGGTGATTCCAAAAATTTCAAGGAATTCAGCAAGATGAGATGCCAAGTTGGCACATGAGTTTTGACCATTGATTGTTTTCACTGCTAAGATCACTGATTTAAGCTTGTAGTTTTGAATCTATTGGGAGGACCAAATTTTTTCCAGGTGAGTTCCAACAATCACAAGTAAAGCTGATTTTGGAAGTCACATTTTTGAACATAGATTTGAGAGCTTCTTTGCCATTCAGGAATGTCTTCAAGATAAAGCTAGCTATATTGTCTTCCAAAGGTACGAGAGAATTTGTGGCAGGGTTGCGCAGTTCCAAAAAATTAATGAACCCCAGATTTTTTAATAGTTTGGTAAGAAACATGGGACTTGACAGCAAATCAACCTATAGCACATAATAAGCTGTCCCTATCAAGCTTCTTCTTTGACACCGGGTTGCTCTTGTCAAGGAACTTCACATGCATTATTCTTCTTGATGCCATCAGCGGTGGGCCGCTACGCTACTCTACGCTTTTGGCCCAAAAAGCGTAGCGTAGCGGCGCTTTTTTTCACCAAAAACCGTAGTGTTAGCGGTTTTTTAGCAGTTTTTCGCTACGCTACGCTGCGCTACAGCGCTTTTAGCGGAAAAAATGGCCAAAAACCGCTAAAAACGGCTGTAGCGCAGCGTAGTGGGCCCTTTTTTGCGGCCCACACGCGTAGCGTTAGCGGTGTCGTGGCGGAATTCCGCTACGCTACGCTAATCGCTAACAGCGATTCCGCTGCGTTACGCTACACTAACCGCTACGGTTAGTGTAGCGGCCCACCGTTGATGCCATGTATGTTGGATAGATGATTGATCATTCTTTTGGTAGAGCCTTGTTTGTCTGGCTCAATCCTTGCAAGGCATTTAGTGTTACCTTTAGGCACTTCAAGTTCTGATGCCTGGAAAACGTGCCACATCTCACACTTGATTTCTTGGGGCTTGAAGTATTGCCATACCCAAGACCAACCTTCTTCAGTTGACTCTTTGGCACAAGTTTGACCACTTGCTTCAATCACCAAATCACTGGATTTGGAGGGGGAAAGCCATTGAGTTCGTATGATATTGGTGGCTGGCAGTAGGCTGTAACACAAGAGCACATATGAAGAATCAATTATTGCCCAAGTGGGGTGACTGGACAAATGCAAATACTTGGGGAAGTCAAGTCACATCCCCCACAGCTAACACCCTGCTCACACATGTTTAAACATATCTACAAGATCCGGCAAAACACGGCCCAGGTCTGGATACCCACAGGGTTTGGCTGCAGAAGGGGTGAGACCCTTATCTGAGGTACCAGATTGGAGCCTTACTCTCATATGAGCTGGTTGGAATTATGATTGGGGTGTTAATTTAGGACTGAGGAGGGCATCAAAATCACCCTAAATTGTAACAGGAAGTCCTCCACATTATGCTCACATAATTACACTTGGCGGCAAAACTATATATATATTATTTTTTTTATGTGATGTTTGTTTAGGGCCTTAATAAAAAAACCCGCATTTTCCGCGTTTTGACGCGCTTTTGCTGCGGCACAGCACACGCGCATTCCGTGTTTAAACCCGCTTTTTTAATTAATTTATTTTTGCCATTAATTTTAATTTTTTTCAAGTTTTTAAAATTGTTTCCTAGGTTAAAAAATGTGTAGAATTTAATGGTGAAGTCCATTTTCCAGAAAAATGACTTTTGATTATTAATTTTTTTTTTTCCACTTATTTTTCAATTAATTGTTTACATACACGTTTCTACCTCATTTTTTATGCTTTTTTGAAATTTTAAATTTATTAGGGGGTATCAAATATAACCAAATCCACCATTAATTAATTGACTGGTTTGAAAAAATCCACCCTTTTTTAAACATGTTGGTTGTCCATTTAACCCCTTTTGGGGCCCATTTATGCAAAAAAAAGGTTTCGGAAAAGTGACTGGTTTCTGATGGTGGATTTCCTATATTTGATACCCCCTATTTCATAGGTTTCAATGTGTGTAGAATTTAATGGTGTAATCCAAATTTTTCAAAACTCAATGGTTCATTTTTAATACTGAAATTTGACATTTTTTTTCACTTAAATTTCTACAGGTTAATTTTCATTATTTTTTGACGTTTTAAAATTTTCTCCTGCACTTTGAGACATGTAAAAAATTATGGTAACAACCATTTTTCCCCAAAATGAAAACTATACCTTGAATGCTTCACTTGACACATTTTTTTAATTAATCCTTCACGTTTTCACTTAATTGTTTGCATACATGTGTGTACCTTATTTTCTATGCTTTTTTGAAATTTTAAAGTTTTTTCCTACATTTAAAAGTGTGTAGAATTTAATGGTAATATTCAATTTCCATAAAACTCAATGGTTCATTCTGAATACTGTAATTAGTCATATTTTTCAATTGATTTTGAACAGCTTAATTTTCATTATTTTTTGACATTTTAAATTTTTTTCCTACACTTTCAGACATGTTCAAATGATGGTAACAATAATTTTGCATAAAAACCAAAGATTGTTATTGAATACTGTGTTGGACATATTTTTTGAATAAATTCTTACACGCTTAATTACCCTTATTTTTTGGAATTTTAAGCTCATTTCCTACACTTTGAAAGGTTTCAAAATTGATGGCTGTATCCATTTTGCATTCAAGTACAATTTGTATACAGTACAAATTATGCAAGAAACGGGGTACACTCACGTATTATAATTGTAGCTTGTATTTTTATGGAAATTGGAATTCACCATTCAATTCTACACATCTTTAAATGTAGGAAATGAATTTAAAATTTTGAAAAATGATTAAAATCCAGCCGGTAAAAACCAATCAAAAAAACATTAAAAAAAACATGTCCAACACAGTATTCAATAACAGTCTTTGGGTTTTATGCAAAATGGTTATTACCATCATTTTACTCATGTCTTAAAGTGTGGGAAATAAATTTAAAATGTCAAAAAATAATGAAAATTAACCTGTAGAAATTTAAGTGAAAAAAATGTCAAATTTCAGTATTAAAAATGAACCGTTGAGTTTTGAAAAATTTGGATTACACCATTAAATTCTAAACACATTGAAACCTAGGAAATAAGTTTAAAATTTCAAAAAAGCATAAAAAATGAGGTAGAAACGTGTATGTAAACAATTAATTGAAAAATAAGTGGAAAAAAAAATTAATAATCAAAAGTCATTTTTATGGAAAATGGACCTCACCATTAAATTCTACACATTTTTTAACCTAGGAAACAATTTTAAAAACTTGAAAAAAATTAAAATTAATGGCAAAAATAAATTAATTAAAAAAGCGGGTTTAAACATGGAATGCGCGTGTGCTGTGCCGCAGCAAAAGCGCGTCAAAACGCGGAAAATGCGGGTTTTTTTATTAAGGCCCTTTGTTTATCTTCCAATAATGACCTTCAAAAAAGAAAATCCAAAAAAAAAAAAATTCTTGAGCGGCTGAAGTGTATTGTTTAGTGTGTTGATATAACACATGCTTGTGTAAGAAGACCAAAGGTCTTTGTGGTTGAAGAGGATGGATTGATGAGAGAGCACATAGTCATGATCAGATTCATAAAGACTATGACAGTTGGAGTTTGTAGAGATCAAGGTTTGGATTTTTGGATTGAGATTTTTGGATATGGATTTGGATTTGGATTGAGATTCAGACTCAGACTCAGATTGAGATTGAGATAGAGATTAGGACCAAAATTGAGATCAAGATGTGACCTTTTGCAATCAGAAATTCCCGTCAATGTACATATATTATTCGAATCAGAAAATTATGTAGAAATCAACTTGATCTTCCAATTAGGATTAAATTACCCACTTTCAGACAAGAGATTCAAATTATCAAGCAAGAATTGAGATTCAGAGATTCGAGAAATGAAGCAAATTGAACTTCACAATTGATTATAAGAGAACGTAAGCTCATTATCTCATATGAGACCCCTGATCAAGATCAACACCAACCTACATACTGTCACCCCCACAACAAGTTGCACAACTCAACCAACACACAAAAAAAAAGCCAAGCCAAGCCACAAAAAAGCAGTTATATGTATGTATAATAAATGAATAAAAAAAGATAAACCTCCAAGACAATAATGAGTAATCAAAAAAAATGGAAAGTGTCCACTGCATTGATGAGCAAGGTTAGTAGTAGTAGTAGTAGTAATGGAAGAACATATAATAGTGCCCAGAGTGGTTGTAAGAATAGTGCAGTTGTAATCAGAGGCATCAGAGGTCTGAAGAGAAGAAGCAGAGAAGATAATGATATTATTTGTTGAGCCTACTCTATATATTTAATATAATAAAAAAAAATCATTATCCTTTTGTGCTCATCCATCACTCATTTATTAATCATTTATTAACCAATCAATCAATCAATCAATCAATCAATCAATCAATCAATCAATCAATCAATCAATCAATCAATCAATCAATCAATCAATCAATCAATCAATCAATCAATCAATCAATCAATCAATCAATCAATCAATCAATCAATCAATCAATCAATCAATCAATCAATCAATCAATCAATCAATCAATCAATCAATCAATCAATCAATCAATCAATCAATCAATCAATCAATCAATCAATCAATCAATCAATCAATCAATCAATCAATCAATCAATCAATCAATCAATCAATCAATCAACCAATCAATCAACCATTTATCAACAAAAAAAGGAAAGAAAGGAAAAAGGAAACCAAAAAAGGAAACCAAAAAAGCAAAGAAAAGAACCAACAAAAAAAATAAAAAATAAATCAAAAAATCAAAAAAGAGAAGATTGTTGTTAAGAAGAAGAAGAAGTTTTTTTTAAAAAAAGGAAGAAGAACAAGATTGAGTGATAAAAGAATACGATAAAGAGATGAGTATATAATGAATAAGAGTGTGAGTAAAAAAGAAAAAGAAGTATCACTGCAAAGCGGCCGACTTGAAGCCGTCAAGGAGTCGTTTAGCGGCCTGATCGAGCATCTCAGTGTCGATTTTCTGGGCCAATTCAGCAACCTCTTTCTCAGCGAGTCCGGCAGCTTTCAACAGTTTACCAGTGAACTCATATGCAAACCGAACACTAGAAAGAAAAAACAAAAAAAGTTAATCATCAATATCATCCTTTCTTTCTTTTTTGAGGGGGGGGGGTGAAGATGAAAAAGGAGAAGAACTGACTCTATAGAGGTATCATCTAATTGTTCAATAACAGGTGTGAACCCTTTGAGGAAGATGTCCAATGGGACAATGTTCTCCTTGACGAGATGCTGGAAGAGAGAAGCAGTGAGGTCGACATCGGCGGCCTTCTTCTCGAGTGTTTTCTCGACGAGAGAATGGATGAGTTGATGGTGGCGAGTTTGGGAGAGAGAGACAAAGGAGGCGGCGGCTTCGGCAACAGAACGGACGTGGAAGAATTCATCGACTCTAGACTTGATGGCCCGCTCGGCTTGTTCGTCAGTGTCAGCCTATGTGATGCCAAGACAAGTGTCCTCTAGCTACACAAGGTGCAAAATATAAGAGTTTTTATGGAAAAAACTCTGGGATAAAACTGGTACAAGTAATAAAAAAAGAATTACGTGGAATCTATGGATTAAATCCAAAAAGTGGCCAATTTATATTAATAAAATTAATATAAATAAAACCAGAGGGGCCTGATAAATCAGGGGTGGTTTAATCCCTCTAAGGTATCGTGCAAAAAGCAGAGGATTTAGGTACCTGATACACTGGGGCCTGTAACAGGTGTGGTTTAAATCCCAGGAGATAATTTTAAGGGGAAAATCTTCAAGAAAGGGTTATTACTTACTAGTAATAATCCTAAGGGGTCTTGAGGATCTTCTTAGTAGAAACTGGACAGTTGGGAGCGCTCAGAAAGGTTGATTTTGGGTGCTGGATGATCACTGGGGAGTTTCTTGAGGGTTCTTGAGGCTTTAATAACAGCAAAAATAGTAATAACTAGGCTACTTACAAGTGTAGGGGACTTGTAAAGGGTAAGTAAATTTCTATAAGGTATTGTAAAGCTGGGGGATCATTATTTGGGCGGTCAGAAGGCCCTTTAAATACCTGTGGAAGACCTCAGGGGTTGCTCAGGGGAGATCAGGGTCAACTTGTGGGTGCTTCATGCATGGAGGCTGAAACATGTGACCATATCCTGGGAAATGTGCCACAGGTGTTCTGTGGAAGATGAAAGCTGAAACATGTGGCTATTTCCTTGGAAATGTGCCACACACGTGTTATCAATATACAAATGTATGTTTGAAACAGCAAATCAGTTTCAAGTCTTAAACCTGTTTATTAGCATATTTAATTATAAACATAAGCATATTTCATTTCCTGCTTGGAGGTACACCCTATATCTTTAATGTAGATTTGCCGCATGAGGTAGTTGAAATAAAGGGTACCTTTGAGTGAGGTACCCTAGGTTATTCTTCACATAGATTAAGAATATTCAGAAATAATGCCCTTATTATTTGATCTTCTCATTTATTTTCAATACTATTCATCTCAAAACATCTCTGGTGAGTAATAATGTCTTTTTTGTATTTTATATTATGTTTGTGTACTATGACAGGTTGTCTCTGCTATAGTAGCAAGCTGACAGTCAGAGATCTCATCCGTCTTCATTGGTTCCGCTTTGTGGATTTTGTTGAGATCAATGTTTGTATTTTTGGACTGATCAGATTTTATCGTGAGCGCCTAGGGAAGCTCAAACCAGGGAGTAGTCTCCCAAGCTTCCCGTGTGTGGGTCAGGGGGGAGCGGGTCTCGGGGGGTTGAGACCCGGAACCTGGCTTGTTGACTCACGGTGTCCGTGGCGCACTCTCGTCCTGGGACCCGCCGACAAGGCGAGCTGAGGGAGAGAGAGGCACGCAAGGCCACAGAGAGTTGCCGAGGCGCTCCCCAGAGCACAAGGACGCCCCGAAAGGGGAGTGGCTATTGCTAGACCCAACCCTCAGAGGGTAGGTACTCTGAGCCTGCAATACCACGGTCGATGCTTCAGACTCACACAGGGGGAAGGGAAACAGAACAGGAGAAAGAAATGGGGTAGTGCTTCTTATTGCATGAGAGGGGAAGGAGCCTCCTAAGGAGGAGAGTACAATCAACATTTTTCCAGTTCAGCTAGCCATGCATTAGTTTTCTTCATCTGTTCTTTGGAGAATTCACGGATATAAATCTTGTAAGAATCCAACTTATCCAAGTCCTCCCTGGTGGGAGGCACACTGGTGTGGCACTGGCTGGGTGCAAAGCGCCCCCTCCCACAGGGAGGGACTTACAATCAAAGCGGGGGTGCTTGCAGTAGACCATCCACCAAAAAAGCTTGTAAATTCACTCTTTAATTTTTCCAGTCTGTAGTTTTGACGCTGTCCTTCCAAGGTAGTTAAAATTAAAATCTTGCTGAATATGTTGATTTTTAGAGCTCATAACATCCTCAAAGCATCAAGCCATTTTTTTAAAACAATTTTTTCAAGGAAATTGATGACTTCAAGAAAGCTCTGGGCCAACTCGGGTATGTGTATAATCTTATTTTTTTCATATGGCCTTTTCCTCTGCTCTTTTTTTTCAATTTTTAATTCAACCGTTTTCATTCTTATCTCTCTACCCTGTTCAACAAAAGAACAACAGATTAATGTGGTTGTAACCTGTGCAACAAGTAGTGATTTCAATGACGTCACAGGCATTGATAAGAATGATGATCATGATCAATCACCGAGCTCTAGGTGAGTCTCAAGAGATTGAATCAAGTGATAAAGAATCAGAACAAGAGATTATCAAGTTCTAATTCTTCATTGATCATAAATCATTATTCATCAACTTTAGCCTACACTTGCACAAGACTACTCAACGCAAACTCATTACATGTATATTTCCACCAATAGTCGACTCATCAAACAAATAGTACTACACAGTTATTAATTCAAAGAAGAAATATTTTCTTAGCGATTAAATAATTTAAATTATTATTTGATTAACTTATCCGAAGCCTTTTCATTTATCCTTGTTACTGAGCCTTAGCATTAGAATTATTAGATCAGTTCTGCCTTCATGTACTGATCAAATTTCTCTTTATCATCTTATTTATTCATGATCAATTGTGTTTCTTTATTAAGATCATAAAAATTACAAAGAAATAAAACTGCTTCAGTTCCAAATTCTTAAAACAGGATGGTAGCTCATCTTTCCTTCCGCCACACTCCATGTGTAGCTTGTAAACTGAGCAAGTATCAGTGTCAGCCTTAGAGCCAGCCAAGCTGGCCAAGAGACTGCCTAATTCCCCCCTTTTCATCCATGTTCCTACTGTAACTTATTCAGTTTAATATTTTATTACATTCTGACTTCAGAAATGAATTCCCCATGTAATTTCAACCCTAGTCACCACTAACCACTTTTACACTACTCTTTTCCTTCATAGACTTTGATATATTTCACTGTACCTTGTGAAATATAAACCAAGTTGGAATTCCAACTCTCTCTACCACATGCACATGTTGTGATTATGTAATCCAACTCTGAAAATTCTCTCAGAGGATACTGAGTTCACATTTTCAGGATCTTCAGACTCCAGACCAACTCAGAACAACAACAACCAGAACCAGATCAAGCCATCACTTATCAACCAGAAGTACTCCACTTTTCCCACCTTTCCCACTACACAGTGTCATTGGTGTCATTAGTAAGTAACTTCTTATAAGTTTTAGCTAGCATCGTTCTGCTTGTTCTCTTTCTCAGTTTCTCTCAAACTCTCTTCATTCCTCATCAAACCAAAGCCCTGATCAAAGAAAGCAAGCTCTAGCTTCTATTATCTCAACTCTTCCTGTTTGGTAGTACAACTGAAAACTACATAGGTTTCCCTTTAAAGAGCCTTGATCTTTGATCTAAAAAATTGTGGTTGGCCTGATTTATCAGAGTCAGAATCTCGACGGCCAAGAGGATTCCTCTCGGCCATCGGTGTGTAATCTGAGTGGCCGCTTCTGTGGGGCCCGGGGTATTTTGTTTCATCGACCCCCAAACCCTGGTTGGTTTTGGAGGATCGACTCCTATACCAACCGGGGAATTTAATTTTTTTTATTATTTTTTTAGGGAGTCGACTCCCAAACCTGCCAAAGGTTTTGGGGGTTCGACTCCCATTTTTCGGGGATTCCAGGGCTTGGGAGTCGGCTCTCCATTTTTTGGGAGTCGTTTAACCAAGCCCCTTAAACAACGTGTCAAATGCAGCATTCAAGGTATAGTTTTCACTTTGGGGAAAAATGGTTGTTACCATAATTTTATACATGTCTTGAAGTGTGGGAAATAAATTTAAAATGTCAAAAAATATTGAAAATTAAGCTGTAAACAATTAAGTGAAAAAATGGGTCTAATTTCAGTATTAAAAATGAACCGTTGAGTTTTAAAAAAATTGGATTGAACCATTAAATTCTACGCACATTGAAACCTAGGAAATAATTTTAAAATTTCAAAAAAGCATAAAAAATAGGGACTCGGAAAAACGACTCCCTTTTTTTTGCCAACAACTCCCAACAACCTTCAGCAGACGTCCGTTGGGAGTCGTCTTCTAAAGTGTGGGCGGATTTTGGGAGTCGTCCGCCCAATTTCAATTTCAATTTTTAATTTTATATATATATATTTTTTTTGGGAGTCGACTCCCCAAACCACCCCTCATGTATGAGGGGGTTTGGGAGTCGCTCCCACTTGACCGGAAGGAACCCCTTCCGGTCAGTGAGGAAGCTAAACCTCATCGACCAGAAGGGATTCCTTCCGGTCAATGAGGAAGATATCCTTCATCAACCGGAAGGGATCCCTTCCGGTTGATGAGGAAGATTGAACTCATCAACCAGAAGGAATTCCTTCCGGTTGATGAGGTTTAGCTTCCTCATTGACCGAAGGAGAGTCCTTCCGGTTGATGAGGAAGCTATACCTCATCAACCGGAAGGGATTCCTTCCTGTTGGTGAGGTTCAGCCTCCTCATCGACTGGAAGGAACCCCTTCCAATCGATGAGAAAGCTTTACCTCATCGACAGGAAGGAATCCCTTCCAGTCGATAAGGTTGGGGGGTTCGCAGCCAGGGCTTCATCGACCGGAAGGACTCTCCTCCGGTCGATGAGGAAGCTACACCTCATTGACCGGAAGGGGTTCCTTCCGGTCAAGTGGGAGGGAGCGACTCCCAAACCCACTCATACATGAGGGGTGGTTTGGGGAGTTGACTCCCAAAAAAAAAAAAAAAAAAAAAAAAAAATAACAATGAAATTGGGCAGACGACTCCCAGAATCCGCCCACACTTTAGAAGACGACTCCCAACGGACATCCACTGCCGGTCGTTGGGAGTTGTTGGCAAAAAAACGGGAGTTGTTTTTCCAAGTCCCAAAAAATAAGGTACAAACATGTTTGCAAACAATTAATTGAGAGATGAGTGAAAAAAAAATTAATAATTAAAACTCATTTTTATGGAAAATGGCTTTTGCCATTAAATTCTACACCTTTCAAAGTGTAGGAAACAACTTTAAAAATTAAAAAAAAACTCGAAAAATAACCCATAAAAAATTAATTACGAAACAGCGTGTGCTGTGCTGCAACAAAACCGCGTGTAAACACGGAAAAACCATGTTTTTTTATTAAGGCCCTAAAGAAAAAACAAAAATTCAAAACCACTTTTCCAACCGCTCAACAAAAAAAAAATTCAAAAGCAAAAAGAAATATAATTTTTTTCCATTTTCCATATTTTTTGGAGGGTCACAGGCTGCAAGCAGCAAAGGAAAAAAAATGAAAAAATAAAAATAAATTGAAGGCTTGAAGGCCGCAAGAAATTCAAAATCAGTGTTTATGCAGCTTTCTGCATCTGAAATTTCCCCAAGAAACTTTCATTTTGCAGCCTGGGGGTCATTTTTGGGGCGGATATCCGCGGGTATCCGCCAGCGGATGCGGATGTCTGATTTGGCTGAAATCGTGAGGGGATATCTGAATCCGAACGGATATCCGGATGCGCCGGTCCCATCTCTAAAGGAAACTGGAGTGATAGGGAATGAGTCATTGGTGGAAGGTTGGGGGGGGGGTGGGTTTGGATGAAATGAAGAGGAAGGAAAGGTGTGAGAGGTTTCAATGTATAACAGTGGATGAAGCGTAGACCTACTCGTTTCCTCTTCTTCTGGAGGGGACACTGTGGTTCGGATTGAAATTTCTCCCTTTGTACCCCGAACCTCTAGGGGTTCTGCCTTGGTCTGGTTTGGTGTCAATGAAGTTGTCGCCGTGCCAGCATTGCTGATGGCTGCTTTGTTGTTGGTTGACATTAGGGTTGAGCTGGACGGTTTGGTGGACCTCTGACCGGTGTGGGGATCCCATCCAAATGTGGGTCCGCCTATGGCGTAGGGGCTGTCCCTGATGCCTAACTCGTTGAAATTTCATGACTCTGAGTGTGCGTTGTCAGCTGTCTCTGGCTTGAACACAGATATACTGGAGAAGGACTCTTCACCATCTTTTTTGACTCTGAACGCAAAAGCGTTATTGCGGATCCTGATGTCGTAGCATAGCATGACCATGAAGCCATGTTTCTTCTGTAAACAGTTGCAGTTGGCTTTGTGCATGAGGATCCATTCAGCAAGGACGGGGAAATTATACCTATTGTGCATTGCCTCGTGGGAACACTGGTGGTTTAGGGTCCAGTCAGAGAAAGATTGGAGCCATTTGTCTGGTACTGCCAGGCCGTGGTAGCGGAGGTCTCTTCTGATTTGGGTCTATTTTTTGAATGGTAAGAGAGTGCTTCCTGTTTCCAGGTCCTGTTGTAAATGGTTAGGGGGATTGGTGTGGAACTGCTCAAGCTAATGAGTGAAGAGCTTGGAGGGGATAAATATTAATAAAACTATTAAATAGTAATAATAATAATTGGGTGTGGGTGAGACTGCCCTCCTTGTCTAGCTTGTGAGAGAGTTACACTAAGAAAAATAATAGTGTGGTAGATTTCTAAAATTTATCTTAGTGAAGATACTACCTGTTGAGAATGTAATATCTGGTTCTCTGGTTTAATCTGGGTTCTTATAAAGTGAGTCTTTATTTCTTCAATATCTTCTGTTGAGAGTTTGAGGAGAGTTAAATAATATCCTTATTATTTAACAGGGTTCAATATAAGGGTGAGGTGTAAGGGTATAGTAATTTCTATTATTACTATTCTGAATCTGATATGTAAGGGTTGATGAAAGCTAAGTAATATATCTAATTACTATTCTGAAGCTAGCACGGGGAGGAAGGAAGGAAAACATGAGCCAGAAGGGCCTCTATTTATAGACAAAATATTTGGTGGGATGGTAAACAGCTTCCCTGATGAGAATGATTGATCAGACTGGTAATGACCTCATACTGCTAATTTAATGATGTCATGTTGATGTCATGCCGTGAAATTAATGATGTGCAGCTGTGGAATTAATGATGTGCAGCTGTGGAATTAATGATGTGCAGCTGTGGAATTAATGATGTGCAGCTGTGGAATTAATGATGTGCAGCTGTGGAATTAATGATGTGCAGCTGTGGAATTAATGATGTGCTGTTGTGAAATCTATATTCTGCTGCTATGCTGATCAATGATGTCATCTGTGTGAATAATGATCTTTTATGTTGTGAAATAATGATGAGAGGCTGTGTAATTAATAAATGGCTGTGTAGTTAATTATTAATGATCTGCTTAAACAATTAATATGATCTGCTGAATGATTTTATATTTGTCCATTATATTATTCTGTTCCTGAATGGTTTGCAGCTTTTGAATTATTATATTATTTCAATTTGTTATGTTGTGTGACTTTTGAGTCCTATCCTTCATTAAGCCTTGATTATCAGGATGAATCCGGGTCAGGTTCGGGTCGAAAAACAGTGCCCAGACCCGACCCGGCAAAAGTGGCGGGTCGGGTTGGGTTGGGTCATAAAGTCAATATTGCTGCCCAAAACCGGCCCACCTGGGGGAGCAGGCGGGTCAGGGTTGGGTTGGGTTGGGTCGCGAGTCACTTTCCGGGTCAGGCTTGAAATGAATTTTTAGAGCATATTTACATTTCTAAGCAATAGAAACAGAAAAGGACAACTTTTTTGTAACTTCACATGTATTTTATTTTGATCAATCAAATAACTAATGATGTAATTTATTTAACGTGATCGTGTATTTTGTCAGTCTTACTTTTTTTATTTTTTATACTTTCTTTATCAGATTTTTTGGGAAAAAAAATAAAAACCAGTAATGAAAAAAGGTCATTCAAGACTAAGTTGATCAGATTGACTTTCTGTATCATCCACGTTAAGATATTCAGAGAGCCCTTCATTGGTAGTAATCCAGTCTTGCACACAGACAAGCGCTTCCAGTGTCTCTGGCTTCAATCGGTTTCAAGAATCACTGAGAACCCTGCCGCCAGTTGAAAAAGCCGACTCAGATGCAATCGATGTCGCCAGAGTTGTCAAGATATGTCTGGCAAGGACTGCAAGAGTAGGGTAACAAAGGGAATTGATCTTCCACCAATTGAGGAGATCAAATGGTGCAGCATCAATATCAACGGTTGCTTCTTGTAAGTATAGATCGAGTTCGGCAGTTGCTGGATTGGAAGATGTGCTTGTTGTTTTCTTTCCAGCAAGGAACTGTTTGAATCGAGCAGTGTTGTCATCGTCTATGGCTTTCTTGTTGAGTAATCTGTTGCTCTTGTCTTTATCCTGGGAGGAGCATGTATCCAAGGTGCTTTTTTGTTGAGTCAATCTGGAAGCCACTTTGTTGAACCAAGTGAAGAAAGATTGTTTCCTTGAGTCGATCAATTGTTATTGGAACTGAGTTCAAATCGGATTGCAATTCGGTTTGTTGGGATAGCGTAAATTCAATCAAGGCAAGCTTGTAGCGTGGGTCGAACACAAGACTTATTGCCGCAAACTCTGCAATTTTTTCCCAGTATTTGTTGTATTTCTCTTGCATAAGGCTGATGAGATCGATGATATGTTGTGGACCGGATTTGAGGCTATCTTTTAGTTGCTTATCAATCTTCACCATGTTTCGATACAACATGTGGGTAGTTGGATTGCGAGTCATACCTAATTTTAAAGTTGCTAAGCAGAAAAATTGAAACAAAGTCAAATCAAAAAAGAAGAAATAAGAGTAAGATAAATTGATAAAAGATTATATAAAATACCTGTGTTGAAGATGGAAAGAAAATCTTTCATTGTGATGATCTCCTCCCATTCTTCTGAGGTAGGACTGGAACAGTAATTTACATCTTGTACGGAAAGATTCTTGAATGCCTCCTTGCAGGGTATAGCAGACTTGAGCATGAGATATGTTGAGTTCCAGCGAGTTGGAACATCAACAGTTGGCAGCGGTTGAGATTTGATGTCAGTCATTTTGAGAGCCTTCTTGAACTGAAGTTTTTGTGAGGGTGTGCTTTTAATGTATCAAACAGTTTCTCGGATCTTATTGATTGCTGTCGAGAGGGACTTTAGTCCATCTTTCACTATTGATTTATGATATGAGCGGCGCATCGTACATGGAAGAACTGTCCTTTCATAGCCGGAGGTGATTTGCTTTTGTCTTGAAGTAAGAGATTGATTCGATTGAGGGCAACATCATTTGCAGAAGCATTATCAACTGTGACAAAAGCGACCTTATCAATCAGTTTCCAGTGAAAATCACAGAGAAGAGCTGATCGGCAATCGCAAGGCCTGTGTGAGGAGGTGGAAGCTCTTTGAAAGAGATGAGTTGTTTGTTTAGAGTCCAGTCGGGAGATATGAAATGAGCTGAAACAACCATGAATGGGGTCTGATTCGAAGATGTCCAGAGGTCCGTGGTCAAAGATATTTTGTCGGCTGTTTTTATCTCCTCTGCTATCTTGTTCTTCATGGGTTGGTGCATCTCCATGACATCGCTCTTGAGGGTTATTTGTCCGTGAGCCTTGAATTTTGGCTGCAATGAAGCAACAAATGCCTTGAAAAGAGGATGGTCGACAGATTTGAATGGCCTTTCATCAGCTATGATCAGCTTTGTGAGGATCTCACAAGACTTTTGTTGAGAGAAAACCCAGTTTGATGGGGCGGCTGAAGTTGAAGTAGATTGAAGCAGCATCTGCTTTTCTTTTGATTTGAAAGAGGTGCATCGGTTGAGGTGCCACCAGAGGTGTTTTGTTCCAGAAGAGATTTTTGCCGACATCACAGTTTTACAATACCGACAAGTCCCTTTCTTGTCCTCACCTGCATGAAACATGAAAAAGAAAAGAAAAACATTAGCTACTGAATAAACAACCTGAGATGATAAGTGATAATCAAAAGGAAAGAATCAAATACCTGCCCCACTGCTCTTGAAGTGGTTCCAAATTTCACTTGTAGTCTTCCTTTTTTTGGGGGGTTGACTTGAATCATCCTGACTGGGAGTGAGTGCATGGATGGTACTGGTAGCTTGGCTGGCTTCTCCAGTGATCTCAATGTCATCGGCCTCGGAACCACTTGATGGTATCGTTTGATCATCAGGAGTGTTGTTTTCTTCATCGGACAAAAGAAGAATCATCGATTGCTTCTTGGAGTGGGTTGGGGGGGGCTTGACGCGACCGCGAGCCATTCTTGCAGTACTAGCAGGGGTGGTCTTGAGAAATTGAGCAATTGGCGATGGACAGTTGCTTGCCGGTTTGAGCTTTGATTGGTGACCGGTTGTACAATTCTGCGGTCCGTCAAGTTCCGAGCTCAAGAAACGGATTCCAAGTTCAAATGATTCAAAGTGTTGTCGGTCGGTTGTTCCAAGTCCAAGATCGCAAAACCTGTAGCGCTCATTGTCTAGGAGTAGGTCCGGTTGATGACCGATTGAACGGAGGGATGAGGAATCCTAATTCCTGAAGGCTGCGTGGGGAAGTGGACCGTTCAGATTCTGAAGGCTGAAGCCAACCCACGGACACTGCCCTCAAGCGGGTCGGTAGTCGGGTTTTCGGGCCGACCCGAAATCAAGAGACGCTGCCCGAACCCAACCCGGTATTCAAGCGGGTCACTTAGGTTTTTTTCACATAAAGTTGACCCGGACCCGCCCCGAGACCTGACGGGTCGCGGGTCACTTGCGGGTTGACCCGACCCACTTTCATCCTGACTTGATTATAAACTGTATTATTCTTCATTTATTACCTTCTTTATTGTTTTCTAGTTTCATTTCTAAGTACTGGACTATAAAATAAGGGGCTTGGAAAAACGACTCCCAAATTTTAGTCGACGACTCCCGTTTTGGTCGGGAGGTCGTCGAACGGGAGTCGTTCTTCCAATTCCCAAAAAAACATAGGGAGTCGTCGCACTAATTTTACCTGGAGAATTTTTATTTTTTTAATTAAAAAAATAGGGAGTCGTCCGCCTAAAGTGCGGGAGTCGGCGCACCAATTCCGCCTAATATTTCGCCCTTTTTTATATTTAAATTGACGGGAGTCGTCCACCTAATATGAGGGAGTCGTTGCACCAATTCCGCCAAATGTTTTGCCTTTTTTTTTCTATATTAAAAAAAGACGGGAGTCGTCCAACTAGAAATGGGAGTCGTCACCATATGGCACCCTCAGAGACTCCAAAAAAAGGTTGAGCCACTGAGGCCCCACCCCAAAGGCAATTTATCAATGATAAAAAAGTTAGATTGATTGAGAAAAACCATTGCAAGAGATAAAAGAGATGACAAACGGGCCAAAAATATTCAAAAATGATCAGAAAAGTAAGAAAAAAAAGGTAAAAAAGGACATAGAGGAAAAAAATCAAAAACTAAAAATGACACAGGATAAAAAAAAACCCTAGTAGTGTTTCATTGGATTTTCTATTTTCCTCTCTACAGTCAATTCAAAAGAATCAGAAAATTGGGCTTCCCATCCCCAAGCCTCTTCTGACGCCTTTTCTTTCCACTCCTTCTGCTTCATGAGCTGAGGGGCAGCAAACAGTTTTGGGTTATGTAACTGCAAGGGGACAAAATGAGAAAATTCATGTAGAAAAGCAATAAAAATAGGGGGGTTGTCATTGGGGGGGCGGAAAGAAGGAAGAAAAGTCTGGCAAAAGGTGTCAGAAAAAAAGCAAACAGGCCTCTCAAAGGCATTTGTCATTACCTCACCCGTCGAAGGCATGGACATCCAATGAGGCTTTGAACAAGGTGATGGCAAATCAACCTTGATACGATCCAAAGCGCCGTGGAGTTTGTGGAACACATTTCAATACCAATCAGGCCGGCGAACAATTTCATTGTACAATTCATACCAACTCCTAGGGATTTGTCGATGACTCCTGCGAGACGAAAAAAGCCCAGTTGTCAGTTTGGACAATTGGGCCATTGACTCCCTTTTTGTCTGGGGAAATTAGCCTGACGACTCCCAAGGAAAAAAAAAAGAATCAATAAAATTAAGGATCACATTTGGGGCGCCGACTCCCGCCTTTTAGGCGGACGACTCCCGAATTTTAGGCGGACGACTCCCGAATTTTCAATTAAAAAAAAATAAAAAATTGCCTGTGGAATTAAGCCGACGACTCCCGGGAATTGGAAGAACGACTCCCGTTCGATGACCTCCCAACCAAAACGGGAGTTGTCGACTAAAATTTGGGAGTCGTTTTTCCAAGCCCCATAAAATAATTACTCTCTATATATTCTTGAAAATTATTTTCTTCCTGTTTATCTATATTTCCCAGCTTAAACTTCTTTTTAATTTATTTATTTATGTTTTGTTGGGTCTTTTATAGGCTTTTTGGTGGTTGATTGGTCTTACCACATCCGGCCCTTCAATTCAAGTATGTTCTTATGAAAATACGGGGTGAAACCACCGTCATTGTGCAAGTTTGGATTGCTCCAGATGGATTTGATGCCTCTCACTTGAGTCGTGAACTCAGTGTCAACTGGTTGCTTCTTGGGGATTACCGAGATCTCTGCATTGATTTTCTTTGAGTTGAAGAAGATGGGGGTAGAGTCTACCGTTATTGACTCGTACATGGCAAAGAGGCGGTCCGCCTTAGCTTCATCTCCGTCTTCCTGGGCCTTGACCACTTTGGCCAAGAGAATCTCCTTGGCTCTGGCTTTGGTTGCCTTAGACGGGCCTTCTCCTTGCTGCAGGTTGTCTGTGATTTCTACTGGTGTGTATTTGCAAAAGGATTTGTCAGCTGACATTCTCGTCAACATTGTTGTTTGTGGTTTACACTCTTTTCTTTTTCTTTTTTTTTGGGGGCTTGGAAAAACGACTCCTAAAAATTAGTTGACGACTCCCGTTTTGGTCGGGAGGTCGCCGAACAGGAGTCGTTCTTCCAATTCCCCCCAAAAAAAGGGGAGTCGTCGTCCTAATTTCAATGGTGATTTTTTAATTTTTTTTATTAAAAAAATGGGAGTCTCCCGCCTAAAGGGCGGGAGTCGTCGTACCAATTTGGCCAAATATTTTTTATTTTTTTTCATTAAAAAAATTGGGAGTCGTCCGCCTAAAGGGCGGGAGTCGGCGCCCCAATTTATCCAACTAATCTAATTTTTTTTTTATTAAAAAAAAAGGGAGTCGTCCGCCTAAAGGGCGGGAGTCGGCGCACCAATTACAACCAATATTTTAACCTTTTTTCTGCATGAAACGGGAGTCGTCCAACTCAAAACAGGAGTCGTCAACCTCTAGCGACCCTAAAAACTCAAAAAAAAGTTCAGCCACTGGGGCCCCGCCCAAAGGCACTTTATCAATGATTAAAAATTAGATTCATTGAGAAAAACAAATTCAAGAAATAATTGAAATAAATTGATGAGATGTTGAGAAATGTAAACAAAAAAACAATGAGAAATGTAAGAAAAAAACAGGGATAAAAGAATTCAATTGATGAGAAATATAAGAAAAAAACATGGTAAAAAAGGACAAAGAGGAAAAAAATCAAAAACTAAAAAAGACACAGGATAAAAAAAACCCTAGTAGTGTTTCATTGGATTTTCAATTTTCCTCTCTACAGTCAATTGGAAACAATCAGAAAAGATGGCTTCCCATCCCCAAGCCTCTTCTGATGCCTTTTCTTTCCAACCCTTCATGAGCTGAGGGGCCGGAAAGAGTCTTGGGTTATGTAACTGCAAAGGGGCAAAATGAGAAAATTCATATAGAAAAGCAATAAAAATTGGGGGGTTGGAATTGGGGGGGCAGAAAGAAGGGAGGCAGGTCTGGCAAAAGGTGGTAGAAAAAAAGAAAACAGGCCTCTCAAAGGCATTTGCCATTACCTCACCCATTGAAGGCATGGACATCCAATGAGCCTTGGGACAAGGTGCTGGTGAATCAACCATGATACAAGCCAAAGCCCCCTCAACTTTGTGGAACACTTTCCGATACCAATCAGGCCGACGGACAATTTCGTTATACATCTCGTATCGTACCACCATATAATCTCCCTGCCCACGGCCCAACCCGTAAGCCACAGCCCGAAATCCGCAGTGACCATCTGATCGAACATCCACAACATCCCGGACTTCAGGTTGAATGATTTTTGGTAAATAATCAACGTAATCAAGATCGGACCGGGGGATTGGTAGATGGGAGTTTGCTGGAGGCGGCGGAGGCTCTAGATGCACCAAGGGGGCTGGTTCGGTGGGAGGGTTGGGGGACGAGGGCACGGAAGAATCAGCGGAGGAATTGATCTTGAGCTTCTTCTTGTTGGCTTGAACCGGGGATGAGGGCGGGGAGGATCCAGGTGCGGTTTCTTTCCCTTTCGTCTTGGGGACCACAACAACCGGTTTGGTGGCCCCTTTCCTGACTGGTTGAATCCTCTTCTTCCTTCTTCTTTTTCCTGTCGTCCTTCTTCTTTTTTTCCTGCTCTTTCTTCTTCTTATTCTCTTCTTTGGTCTTCTGTTTCTTGTTATTCTCCGCGGCTTTTTGAAGAAACTCGGGATTTTTAGTCGGAGACAGGGGAAGAGACCGGGTGAAGAAGAAACCTCGAGGAAAAGCTCTGAGGGAAAAACAAAGGTCTTAGAGCCCAGAAAGGGGCTAGTCTGCTAGCTTGTGTGGAGGAAAAGCTGACACGCTACAAGGAGTTGTATCTGATATTGACTCCAGGGAACAGGCGCAGAAGAACTGATGTTTTTCATTCTCTAACTCAGGAAGCATGAATATTTATCTACATACAAGTTATGGCTGAGTTGTGGGACAGAAGATGACAATTCATATTCATCTGGAAAAGAGAAGAAAAGGAGTGACAGATGAGAAGAGAGTGACAGAGATGTGACAGGGAGAGGAGAGCAGGGCACGATCACTTCAGAATTCCAACACTTTTTCTTCAAGTTTCCTCTTTTTTTCAATGTGTTTGAATTCCGACGGGTCCCGTGTTGTTGATTTGGGTTGGTTCAGAGCTCCTTTGGGTCTACCTCGAGTTGATTGCACCTGCTTGGGTAACTGAACGTCGACCAAGTCGAGAGATTGCGTCCAGCTGTATGGATAACGTGCTCGGGTTTGCTTGGAGGAGCCTTTGCTTGACGGATTCAATCTTGTCAAGGGCTTGTGGGTTGTTTTGTTGCGGATCTTTTGTTGGTTGAAGATCCTTTTTGATTGATCAAAAGAAAGCATATTGTTATTATTGGAGAGGAGAAAAATTAGTACTTGGAGGGGAGAAAATTTAATAAACATACATGAATATGCCATTGTTGGTGAAAGTCTTCCGGTTCCAACTTTCCCCCTGACCGAGCCAACTCTGCAAGGCAATGTTTACACGGAATACCTGTCCGGAGTCGATGAAAGCCGTTACAATGATCATTCTTCCCAACGTTTGCAGATATTCACAGGTTGTTTTGAGCCTTACTCAGAGCGAAATGGGTGATCCGGCCCAGGCAATTGTCGAACAGGGCACCAAGATTCATGAGAGCGTCGATTTTTTCATGGCGGTGGCTTGTGCTTATCTCGTGTACTTGTTTTTCAATTGCGTTGGTAATCATTTTGATGGTGGAGTTGAGGGATTGATTCGGACCGAGAAGATGTGATTTGACAAATGAGTGCGACGATTCGATACAAGATGTTGTCCGGTGATTGAAATGGGTAACTTCCCTTGTCCAGGCGTTCGCATATTTCTCCGCCACTGGGAGCCAGTTTGAGCGCATGTACTTGCCAAATTTGTCGCCATAACTTCCAGCAAATCGGTCGAACACAGCCCTAAAGTCGCCGGTGGTCGTGATGTTGATGACATTCTTCCAGTGTTGGATCGTATCGGCCTCTTTCTTCTTGTCCTTGATCATTTTGGCGCCGTTAGAAACCAAGTTTTTGTTGATGTGCCAGGTACACAGTAGATGCTCCGTTGTGGGGAAAACGGAGTCGAGACTGTTCATAAGAGCTTGTTCCCGGTCGGTCAAGACTACCTCAGGTATCGGAATGTCGTTTCTGGTGAACACGTTGAGCAGGGATTGAAGAGCCCATTTGTAGTATGGTTTGGTTTCTTCATGAAGGAAAGCAAAGGCGACACTGAAGGACTGGTTAGATCCAGTGACGCCGGCAATGTGCAGGAGGGGCATGCAATACTTATTCGTCTTGTAGGTGCAATCGAGGAATAAGACATAGTGGAAATGACGGAGGAGGTGAAGCGAGTGGTTGTGACAGAAGAAAAGACTGAGAATTTCGCCAGAATCGTTTACCTTGGTTGCTGAGGTGAAGGCTGTCGTGAGGGTTTGATTCAGATGAACAATTGGGCTGATTCCGCGTAACTCTTCTGCGCGAGCCTTCTTTCTGGCGGAGTAAACGGTCGAAATGGTGGCCAAGATCGGCTTATCGGGATTGGTCTTCTTGAGTGATTGAAGAATCTGGGCCGGTGTTAATCCCGCATCGCCTAGTTGCTTCATTTGCTCATAGAGCTCCTTTGTGAGTTTACGGTTGGCGGTGTGCCCCAAGGGATCTTCGCTGGGTGCATGATTATGTCGGGGATTGGCCACGGTAAACTTCCATCCCCCCCCCCCCGCCTTCATCTGGATCTGGGCCCTTGCGTCGAAAGGGCAATCAATCAGTCAACTGACAATTGGTCCTGTGCGTGTGTCATTTTTCCGTCTGTTTTGAGCTGGGTTACCACCCCTACACATAAGATGGAGAAAAAGGACGGCCATTGAGCATGAGCTATGATTTGAGTGCTATGCAGAAGGAGGACTTACCTGTCACATTTGAAAGTGATACTCTGTAAAACCCCACCCATGTTGGGTTTCACAAGGCTGTCATGTACATGTCTGCTTGTCGCTATCTTACTTCTAGCTCTCCTTTCTCTTCCTGGCTCAGCAGAGAACTGACCCCGCACTCTCTCTGAGCCAGGTGAGCCTTTGATTTCTTTTCATTTCATTCTATTTGTTTTCTCTTCATTTCTAAAGTTGTATCAGGAGAGAACTGACCCCGCACTCTCTCTGAGCCAGAAATACAAACTCCCCCCAGTTTGGTCTTAGAATCTTTGGTTCATTAACCGTCTCCGCGCCCTTTCCTCTTCATTCAGTGGAGGGCTAACAGAGTCCTTACATACTCTTCCCGGGAACAGTCCTCTTCCTGACAATGACAAAACCATTTTCTCGAGCAAAGGTTTTGATGGAGTGCTCGAGGATCAATGGGTCGGAATAAGTGGCCGCAGGAGGAGCGGGTATGTCGGTATGTGGTGCTTGCGCTGGTGTTGGGGGGATGGTTGGGGTCTTTGTTGTTTTATTTGTCTTATCTTCCGGATCTGACTCGGGCTCGTCCTCCTCAGCGTTGTCGCCAGTGTTCTTGTCGGCTTGACTTGCAAGTAGCTCTAAGCATTTTTTGATGGTTACCGTTTTGTCATCTTCAGCGGTTTCTGCGTGATTGCCATCAGATTCTTGTTCATCTTCACTGGTGATGGGGCTGACTGGTGCTATTGCCTTGGGTTTGACAGGGGGGGGGGGTGGGTGGCTTTCCAGGGGTCCGGTGACGGGGCGGATTGTTTCCTTGGGTTTGACATTGGTGGGGGGAATCGGGGGCTGAGGGTCCAGAGGAAAAAACATTTTCGGAAGACGCACCAAGGATGTCTACTTCTAAATGGGCCAAGAGGCTTGGATCAAGCTCTGGCCGGGTTGGGGGGGGTTGACAACTGCGGTCCGGGATGCGACAACTGCCGTTTTTTGCGCGACGACTACCTTTTTTTGCGCGACGACTACCGTTGTTTGTGCGACGACTCCCGGGGCCAAGGTGA